TCAAGATAGAACATCTGTGCTGACCTTGTTGAATTGCGCACAGTGTTACCGTGACACAAAAGCATCAATTGATAAGGCGGAATTCAGTTGAAACCTTTGTCTTTGTAACAGATATTAACTTTGCAGACATCAGATTCCAGTACCTGTTTATAGTTCATTGTGGAAATTTTTCAGATCTGTCTTGAAGGCTAAAAACGCATTTTGAATGTCTGAAAGGGGCTTTGAATCTTGCCTGCAGAGACGAGACTCAGAACTGGTTTGGTGTTGGTTCTCTTTAACTATTTCTGCACCCCAAGGGGAGGGAGGTTAAGGCAGAGAGCTCCACAGCTAATCTCCCCTGTTGTTATTGAATCTGCAAAATGACAGACCCATATAATGTATTGGCTACCTTTTTTCAAATAACTTGTGTGGAAATGTGTATTTTTGGGCTTACTGGTTATGAGTCACATTTTTCATGAACTGGCTTAAACCATTAGATTTGTTTTCTTGCTGTTATTAAATGTTGGCTTTTGATTTATTGACAGTAATTCATTATTTTAATTATTATTAAAATGCGATAATGGCATTGTCCATGGTATTGGTATTGGTTCTTGCCTATAAATGGCTTTCTTTGCCGGGAAAACAGGTGGTGAACACACTGAATATGGTACTTACGTAAGTGTAGCCTGTTTGCTGGGCTTTTGACTCAGTATCTGCTCAGATTAAACATATTTTACAGGTAGTGGAAAGCTTGACGGCAGCATAATACGTAGATGTTTATTTTAGGCTGTTTCCTTGTTTTCTCCTGAAGTGGAAAATCATGGGGGTGTTCTGGCTGGTATTCTGGAGCCAGAGCCTGTCCTGGCAAGCAACCAGGCACCAGGCAGGATACACCCTGGATGGGAGGCCAGTCCATTGCAGGACTGACACAAACACAAACACAAATGCATATACACACACACCAGGGCTAACTTTCCCAGAAACCAATTAACCTATGTCTTTGGATTGCGGGAGGAAATCGGTGCACTCGAAGGAAACCCACACAAAGACGGGGACAACATGCAAACTCCATGCAGATAGCGCCCAAGGTCCAAACCTCCTTAAATTCTCCCTTGATTCAGTTTGTTGAATTTGTTTTCTGTGTAGTGGTGCTGGAGCATTATGGCTGCTATGTGTCATTCAAGCAGGTGCTGCACTGGTAAAGTGAAGTGGCTCTTTGGAAGCTATACTATGTACTGTGAGTGCAAGGCGTGTGCCATTGCTAGGTATAAAAGGCTGTCAGTCTGAGATGTGCAATATAGAAAAGCCCAGGGTGTGTGTATGCCTCCACTAAATTGTGAACGTGTGCAGACCATTTAGGAGCTGAGAACCAGTGGGGAAGAGGAAATTATTTCAACTCGGTGACGAGAGGATGATTTTATCTGTGGAGAGCGGGGACTGCCAAGAAAGTGATTGACTTTCCAGTGAGTTTGCAAAGGGAAACAGTGCTGCTAGTGGGAGCAGAAATGAAAACATCCTGCAGTCAAATGGGCGTAAGTAACACTTCTGTCACCTAGACCTCTGGCCACTTACCCTTTCAAATGAAACTAGTTGTCATAGAATGAAGTTGATGGAAGTACAAATGAGGATCTTGTAAACAAAACGAGGAAGCATGCTCATATTTTAATACTGAACTTTACACAGTGGATAATGGGCCTTTAAGGAAAAGCCGTCTCGTGCAGTCCACTTCAATTTTATTCAAATCCCTGGGTGTAACCATAGCAACTATACATGTATGACTCGGCTGAAAATGATTTGTGATCTTAAGATGAAGGTAGATCAGATCTGAAGACTGTGAAGGAATATGAGCTGTAATAGCAGTAGCATTCAGATGCATAGTGCTTGATTTCAGTCAGATGTCCAACGTTACCACGTAAGTTGAAGACTTGAAGGAAGTAAACTAGAAATACTGGAAAGAAACAGGAGAATGTCATCAGCTTAAAGCCGGGACGAGCCATGCTGGTCCTGGAGGGCAGGTGTGTCTGCAGGTTTTCTGTTGATATTTTGCTTAACAGCCTGTGCCAGGAGTTCTAATGAAAGAATAAACAGCAGTGGTGACAGTAAACAGCGCTGTTATCATAAGTACCTCTGCCCAGAATGAACTGTTGCGATATCTTTGACCAGGTCTGCACACAAATGACAGGACTGTTCTTTAGGGGACGGATTATATTGATGAATGAAATAAAGCATTCTAGAAAAGCCTATGGAAAGTTCCATTCTGGGCATTCAGATGCATTTTTTGCAAACACTGCTCTAGAGGCCAGTTTATGAGTGGTCTGAACCAGAATATAGGAGAAACATATTTGTTTTGAAGCAAATTAACTCTTTGAAATGCCCCCCTAGTCATGATGTTTTAGGTGAGTTGAAAGAGTCTTTGCTTTGAGTTGATTTTTTTTTATTTTTATGTTGAAAATCTGACATGGCAAATGTGCAGTTTAGTATTACAGATTGGTTCCACACTGCTTGCAGCACCTTAGATGCCACCTGAGCGAGGAGCATGTGTTTCTGCCTAGATGGGAGAGCTTCCTTTTGAGGCAATCTCAGATGTTCCAATATTAGAACAGAATTCTTTAATGTTAACCAAGTTACTGGTGGTTTCAGAAGTCTAGAGATGTAAAGTAAAGTCTCAGAGATGTTTATTAATCTAGCTTTTTTAAAGTTGCAGAGATGTTTATTAACCCAATATTAATCTAGCCTGTTTAAAGAGTTCAGCTTGTATTGTTATGTTATTGGGTATTTGTCTTTTATTTGCCGGAACATTTTTATAATGTAAATAGCTTCCTAATCGGGTAATAAAGATTAATCAACCTGTCAGTAGAAGTTGGTCTCTTGTTTTTGACCCAAATTAATATGATTAATAATGATGTATGTCAAGATTATACCATTTATAATATATAAATGCAATATAATCAATGTTTCGGGTCTTCCAAGAAACAGAAGGATTTCTTAGAACAGAATTCTTACTCTTTTGTAACACGTTTCTGGAGACTCCACTCAAAGAGCTTTACAGGCAGTTAGGCAGTTGTGCAGATCCAATGTGTATCACCGATTTGGATGATGTGACAGCACCCATAGTGTGCCAGTAAGCTCACCACACATCAGCTATCAGTGGGGAGGAGAAAGGAGAACAGAGTAATGAAGCCAATTCGTAGATGGGGATTATTAGGAGGCCATGAGGGATAAAGGCCAGGGGAAATTTGACCAGGATGCTAGGCTAACACCCCTACTCTTTTTTGAGAAATGTCCTGGGATTTTTAATGACCACAAAGAGTCTTGGTTTTACTTCTCATTCGAAGAACGGCGCCTTTTCTGCAGTACAGCGTCACCATCACTATACTGGGAGCGCCATTAGGTCCCACACAGGGTGAGCCACGGGTTCCACTAAGACCTAACATGCCGAAGTAGCTTGTCCCATACTCCTATAGCATTCTGTGTAAAAAGACTCCTCCTGTTCTCTAAATCCAATTCCCCATAGTTTCCATCTGTGTCTATTTGTTTGTTCAGTGGGTTGACTTTATTGATATCCTATTCAAATATATAACGCTATATCAGGTACCCTCATAGTTTTTACTGTTCAAGTCTAAAACTACAGTATCACGTTTTAGCCTGTCAGAGTAGACTGAGCCTTTGGTGAAGTATCAGACATGCACACAAACCAGAACAGCCAGTGTACAGTTAGGGTGTTACCAGGAATAGAGGTAACTAATAGCAAAGTAATAGGGCTTCACAATGTATAATTTTAATTCCTGGAATGTGAAAGAATGACAATATGCTGTAGGCTGGGTTTCATCCTTCTCAGAGCACTTAAACTCTTATGGTAGGAGACAGGTGTTATTTTTTTATGTCTCCTGGCCTGTAGAGCTTGTTTTTATAATTAGTTTTCTGTCAGTTTTGTGTGTAACAGAAAATACGATTCCATATAAATTTAGAAATGGGTCGGTTGTGAGCCATTCAGCTTAGAATAACTTTAGTTTACATTGCGATATGATAAAGAATTACTTTAAACAAAGGGGTTTTCACAGAGGCTGTAGCATTTTGTTTTGGCTATGTGGTTTGACACATGGATTTTGCTGTTTGTTGGTTGCTTGTCTTGCACTGTAAGCTGTGCAGTTGCTGTTACAGTTTGCAGAAATAAAAGCAAGTGTTTGACCAAGACGGCAATGTTAATGAAAAAGCATGACTGTTCTCCGCTTTAAAATTCACAACAAGTGTATCGCAAACAAAACTCGCTCATTTGGTGGGATGATATTGTATAGGAGTATCCTGTCAGTTGTGCTTTAATCTTGCATTTGCAAGAAACTGTAGTTCCGTTGAAAAATCCGGTGCATAATTGAGCAAAAAAAACATTACATTAAGTGAAGAGGTCTGTCCATGATTTGACAGTAAGCCTTCAGAAACTTGCAGGTGTTTATCTTTTGGGATTGGAAAAAAGAAACAAAAACCAACATTGAGATAAACAAGTATGTAAAAGGAAGCTGACAGCATCTACTGTAACACCCTGCCTGCAGGGTGTCAATTTTGAATAGCACAAAAGCATGTATGGTAGAAAAATATTGTTAACTTAGGTTATGGCAAAAGCAGCTGGCATTATTAGTACATAAATGGTTATATATACAGTATACGTTTATAAATAATTGCATACTTATAAATAATTGGATTACTGTTTGCATAATTAAACACTGTGGAACTTGAGATCCCTTCAGAGCTCTAGCTTTGGTTACTTCTGTCCTCCATTCTCTGCTCCTTTTGTATCTCACTGTAGGTAGTAGGGCTGTAGATAAGAGTGTAGCGGCTATGAAAATGGCTAGAATGAAGACTGTCGATGAAAAGATACTAAGAATGCAATTGACAGCTATGCAGACAATGAGGATGCTTATTGTGAACAGAGCTCCCTTGGTAACAGTTGACTTGTGTTGTTTTGTGCTTCGTATACATTCACCAGTGTTCTGTACTTAACCAGATATTTCTTCTTTTGAACTCAGGGTGAAAAGAACAGTGGATTTGATGTACTTTACCATAATATGAAACATGGACAGATTTCAACGAAAGAGCTGTCTGATTTTATTCGTGAAAGGTAAGCAGTTATGTCTTCCTACTTTAGTTCCTGCTCATTTCTGGACTTTCTTTACGTTCTAACAAAACATTGACTTTGAAACATTGTTCTGCCTGAAACACTTGACAGCACCTTTGAAGTATGTGTGGACTGTTGTCATCCTGGCTTATCCTCATTCCAATGCTTGCCGTCCATCCCCATTCAATGAGAAAATTGATATTGTCTTTTAAGCTGTTCTGTATAATGGACTTCTATCCACTAGGTTCCATGTGTATCAATTAGAAAATATCAATAATTGAGGTCAAGGTGTTAAATAATTGTCAGTGAAAAGAACTGGTGAAGATGAGAGCATTGTCTCCTGACATAGGGGCTGGTATACATTAGGTTTTTTTTCCCTTTTAAAAAAATATAGGGTAAAAAATATTATGATTTATATTACGGGAATCTTGGGTTACTCAAAGATTTTTCTGTCCTAAAGGTTGAGCTTTCGCCCTGCAGTTCAGTGCATTGCTCTTCATGTTGTGTTATTGTCAATTAAGCTGTAATAAAATGAGTTTTCATTACAGTCCAGTTTAACCAATTTTTAATATCAGATTGTAATATCAGAGCATTGACAACAGCATAGTTTAAGTAAAAGAAACCAGTTTTGGAAATGTGGTCGTTTTCAAGCTGTTCTTTGGGCTCTGTTGTTTGGGGTTTGTGTGGGGGATGAGGTTATGCAGTGCTGCGTATTAGATCTTCCCTTGAACGTGTTGGATCCATGAAAGCCGAATGTGGCAGGTGGCAGTGTGTTTACTATGCTGTGGCAGTGCCCATCAAAGAGGGCACGTGGCTGTCCTAACGCTGGTTGAAGAACGTAGCTTAGCAATGTCCACTATCTATACAAGATGAGCTTGGTGGATATTCCCTGACAGTGGGCACTCTTTCCTTCCAGTTTGATGCTTTTCTTCCAGTGGGAAAATTCCCAGCAAGACAAGAAACAACATTTGACTTGCTTGGTTGGGAATGTAACACAGGTGTGGTGAACTTTAGTTTTTAATTCAACGTGAAAAGTCATGGATAAGCACATATGTGTTTTCTATATATTTTCTGTTTTTTTTTAATCTTGTGTGAGTGATAAAAAATGGATTTTGTACTTGTTTTCTAGTGTAGATGGTGGTAAGTGTGAGAAGAGGAGGGTATAGAAATCCAGACACACAGTCCAGTAAGACAATAGCAGGGAGTTGCTTGAAGTATTTTTGGCTCAGGATTATGCAACTGTTTTTTGCACCCTCCACCCTCTTCTCATACAGTGGTAATACTAAATACTACAGGAAAACTAGCTTTCTGATCTTGAGCACTATCTACTGTAGTAGCCTTTCCTGCCACACAGTGTCGCTCGTGAGTGTTCTGGGAAATCTGATATGAGACTTTTCCTAATTAATCTAAATTGCTCCAGTCACCCTAGTATACTGAGTTTAATGTGAATTGTTTTCTGGAAGCATTCTTTTAAGAGATCTTAATGCATCTGTAATTTAATTTATCCAGTTCTGCAGTCAAAGCTGTCTCAAAATCTGTGCATTTGATTTACAGGTTAAAAAAAACAATTGCTAGAAATAAGTGTTGTTAATAGGAGTTCAGTAATTAGCCGAATACAGACAAGAATAAAAAAAGCAAAATTTCAGTGTTTAGATTACTTTGTTAATAATAAATATAATAATTCCTTATGCTTATATAGCGCCTTTCTGGACACTCCAATCTAAGCACTTTACAGGTAATGGGGACTCCCCTCCACCACCACCAATGAGCAGCACCACCTCGATGATGTGACGGCAGCCATAGTGCGCCAGAACACTCAATACATATCAGCTATCAGGGGAGGAGCTGGGGAGGAGCACAGAATGCTGAAGCCAATGCAGAGATAGGAATTATTAGGAGGTCATGATTTGTAAAGGCCAGGGGGAAATTTGGGAAGGACGCTGGTGTAACACCCCTACTCTTTTTGAGAAACACCCTGGGATTTCTAATGACCAGGTCAGGAGTCAGAACCTCAGTTTTAGGTCTCATCCAAAAGACGGTACCTTTTTACAGTATAGTGTCCCCATCACTATACTGTGGCATTAGGACCCACACAGTGCGCAGGGTGAGCGCCCCCTGCTGGCCCCACTAACACCTCTTCCAGCAGCAGCCTTAGCTTTCCCAGGAGGTCTCCCATCCAGATATTAGTGAGGCTCAAACCTGCTGAGCTTCAGTGGACTGCCAGCTGTGAGCCACAGGGTGATATGGCTGCTGGTATATTACCATATTAATGTTAATTATGAACCAAAGGCATCACTTAATAAAAAATAAAACAGTAGTTGAATAGAAGCAGCCAGTGCTAATACTGTACAACTTTAGTAGTAAATTAAGTCTTGTTGAGCTGTGTAAGGGATTTGGGCTTCTAGTTGAAAATCTTTGAAGATTAGGGATGGATGGAGTTGTTGTACCTTTCAAATTGCTATAGAAAAGGGTAAGAGTAAAGCATGACTTTAGAGTTCAGTATTTACTTTGATTGAACTAGTAAAACTATTGCAGTAATTTATGAAAAAAGATAAGTTAACAGTGATGGTATCAAGTTGACCTTAGGTATCCCACTTGGCGACTTGATCCTAGGAATGCACTGCAGAGGGAATATGAGACAGAAAACTATCCAAGAAATAATCAGAATGGGTCTAAATGTCCACAGATTACTATCCAGTGGAGTTGTAGTGGGTTTGACAGACTATGTTGGTATGGGGTTGAGCATAACAAGAAAAAATAATAAAGCAGTTGCATTGCCTGAATCAGTAGTGAATGGTTAGTTTTAATTTGTAAGACATGCTCTTATTTTTATGTTTCAAATAGAGTGAAAACAGACCAGAAAGTTGCAGTTTTATTATTTGCTAACACAAACACTCCTTTTTCGTTGTTATGTTTTCTGTAACTGTAATAAAAGGAACTGTTTCTTGAGCTGCTAGGATGCCTATGGGTTTATACTTTGTATTTTGTTGCCAGCATCTGCAGTTTGGCACCACCTTGTGTAGGGAAACGCAAATCAGATTTTTACTGGTGTTAATTTTTGGTGTTGAGTAAATTTCGGTTCCTTTATGACTCTGTCATTAATAAAGTATGCAGCAAGAAATGCAGAGTTTCCATTAATTATAGGCTGCCACTAGTCACTTGAGAAGTTAACCCATCGCTGGAAGAAAATTGAAAGAGTAATTGAAAATAAAGTGATTTGAAATAAATTACATTTGAAGTAATGCTGTAAAAAAACAAGGAGACACAGTGGACAAATAGGGAAAATTATAATAGTTTTTAATACCACATGACTTGAGTATATGAAATAAAAATCCATAGTCTGTAATGTTTGTTTATACACCTGGTATACATATACTTAATGAAGTCGCAGTATGATCCCTTTTAAGTAAAGTTCTCATCGGAAGAAAATATGGGAGACACCATGCTGTTATTGGAAAAGATTTTTCAAATGATTATTATTTCAGTGCTACAGATAGAGCAGAGATGATGACTCATGGCAAGCAATCAAGAAAAACATTTTCTATTTAAGTCTTGGCAATGTTTTTTAACCCTTCAGAATTATTTGACTGCAATGCTGGAGAAAAAGGAGCCCTGCTAGAAATTAAATAAGAAATATACAGTGCATATGCATATGAAGTTTTAGGAGTCCAACCAACTGTATCAAAAACCGACTGTAAACTTAAAAGTCAATTATTAATATTAGTAGCTGCTCTTAAAAAGTACAAACAAATGTAAAAAAAACTTCATTCTATGAAATCAAGCTGCTCCCTAACAATATTTAAGCAATTATATGGTTGTATAATGATCTTTTTCTCCCGGAGATTTGTGAATTAAGGTAATGGCAGTTCTGCCTGGCTTTACAAGAACCATCTGTGTTTCTAAGATGGTTGTTATTAAATACGTCTGTTGAATGATGCTGCATACTTTCACTTGACATAATTCGCCACAGACACTCCTCATAAATTGGATAATCATAAGTGTGACTCTTGCCAGATATTTTGAGGGCGTTTTTTTTTAATTCTCTGCTTTTTCAAAGTAGAACTGCTGCACAACAATATGCTGAGCTGATTCTCAGAAGTGATTGAAGACGTGTGTGAAACTGTTCTCTGTAGATCAAGTGGAGTGAAATGAACTGGAGAAGATCAGCACTGCACCCTGTTCACATTGCTTGCAGTACAGATGTTTTAATATCAGTGGAGAAATGTGTTTGAATAATGCAGAATACAACCATTCAGTCTTTAAGCTTGTTGAGCCTACTGTACATTATTTCTACAGTTTGCATTTTGTGGAATTTTCTACATACTTTAAAATGTAAATGGATGATTTCCATTAAACCACAAGTGTTTCTATTTTAAAATGCAAAATTGTGCAGCTTGGATTGTGTGCATAGTCTTCTGTTTATAGCTTACAGAAGTATGGTTGAACATGCTTTTAATAGCTGAGTCATCTTCAGTATTTAGATTAAATAAACACTAATAAATCCCTTCTGCGGTTTCTTACCCACTCTTCTTTACTGATCAGAAGGCTGGGGTTTATGCCGGTTGAAATGAAAGAGCATCACAACTGGAATAAAACTTTAAAGTTGGTGAGGTTTGAAATAATACATATAATTACTGATTGCAGTAACAAAGTATATGTAGTGTTTTTAAATGCTTTTAAATAACAATTATTGATATATTAAATGGAGGATGATATATTACAGGTAGGCTAGATTTAACTGAAACATATGACATTTAGTGATGCTACGGTTATGTTACAGGAAGGAAGAGATACAATACTGTATAGGTTAAATTATATCTTGTTCTCAGTTTTGTTTTTGATGGTGTTGGCTATTGATATTGCATTGACATTAAGAATAGCTAGAATTAACCTTCGAAGAAAAACCCAGTCTTCATGCCAAACAACCTTAATTTAGACATTTAAACAGCAAATATAACAATAATTGATATTTGACCATTGAGTTGTAATGGTAATTCTAAATATCACCCTGGTTCAGACAGCTTTAAATCTCTAACGTGTCTAATATGAAATCAGTGGTACAACCTTACAGGTAAAAAAACAATAAATAAATAAGTTATTTTAGACTTAGTTTTACCTCATTCAAATAAATTTAGTTTACATTTCTATGAATGGCATGGTTCGAATTGTGATTTTGGTTTATAGGGATGATCTAGAGTTGAAAGGTGATATAAATGATTTAACTGTTAAAAGGCAGGAATCAACACCCTGAAATTAAAATTTGCTAAAACATGTATCAGTTTTAATTGAGACCAAACAGAAGGGTCAGAATTGTCCATTTTCTCTCTCTGTTAGATTTACCCTGACATGTTTTTTGTGTTTTTGTTGCTATTTTTTTAATTTGAAAACCAACATCTTGATGGTTAACTCTCAAGCTTCACCCTCACTTATGGTAAATATGTACTTGCAGGCATCCTGTTTGTATAACGCCATTTATGTGTAACTAACAAAAGCAACACTGACTCCTTCAAAACTCCTCGAGTTTGTCCCTAAAATTAAAGTTTAATCTGTGAGACATTGTTCCAAATTCTCCTAAAGAAAGATGGTAAGTATGAGAGAAATCTGACAATTCATAATCTTTGGCCTACAAGATCAAATATTATACAAGCTGCCTTTGTTTCTTGTCATTTTTCATTGTGAGTACTAAAATACATGTATACTTCTTTTAAATGTATTTGTGTGGCCAAGCAGATTTCAGTGGTTTTTAACATGCAGACATACTGATTTTTTTTCTTCTCCCCCCCCCAAGGGCTACAATTGAAGAAGCATATGCAAGGTCAATGACCAAGCTAGCCAGATCAGCTAGCAATTTCTCACAGTTAGGGTAAGTTTCTTAGCTCAACACTTTACACAGCATCTGCTTTGCTTGACAGCGTGTGGACGCATGTGCATGTACCGACTGCTTTCAGTGTCCTGTGTCCGTAATGTGGTCTTGGCTGCCAAGTGTTACTTGTTTTTCAGGACTTTTGCGCCAGTATGGGATGTATTCAAGACCTCGACTGAAAAGCTAGCGATGTGTCATTTAGAGCTTGTTCGGAAACTTCAAGAATTAATTAAAGAAGTTCAGAAGTATGGGGAAGATCAAGTGAAAGCACATAAAAAGGTATTTGTTCTGGTTTGAAATGACTGTATTATAGCTCTTTTAAGTTATCAAGACTTTTAAAGTAATCCTTGTTTTCTAGAGTAAATAATAATAATGATGATGATGATGATGATTAATTTAAGTTACAGTATGCTCATGTGAACTGTCCACAACACATTAGACAGGATATGACTGGTTTACTGAACATCTCAAGTAAAGGGTTATTTAATAACTAATCCGATTTTAATGATAGAATGCAAGCTTATTCCGTGAGCTGGGAATTTGTGTGAACAGTAGTTCACACAAGACTGGTCCTGGGAGCTGACAACTGGTCTGTCTGCCTGTAGTTGCATATTGCTGACTAGAGTTCCCCCATCCACAGCTAACCTGTGTTCCACTGAGTAGTTATCTTTCTGTCTTGTATCTCACTCCCTTTTAAAACAGCACACTTTGAATGCCTTGATCTTAGATGTAATCTGTTGTTTTGTGGTGCCAAACAGACAAAAGAAGAAGTTGCAGGTACACTGGAAGCAGTGCAGAACATTCAAAGCATCTCTCAGGCCTTGCAGAAATCCAAGGAAAACTACAATGCCAAGAGCGTGGACCAGGAGAGGTTAAAAAAGGAGGGAGCAACACAGAGAGAAGTGGATAAGGTAGGGTCGTTTGTCTTCATTGGATCAGTCCTTCAGATCTTATTTATGTGCTGCTTACAGTACATCATCTCTTGGCTCCCTCCATTGTGGGGTCAAGACCCCAGAAAAAATAATCTGAGGCTAGACAGTACTTTTCTGTGGACATTATTTTAGACTTGTGAACACACCCTGTTCCATATGCAGAATTGAATAAAATTGAATAAAGACAAAAAAAGGTTTATTTCTAAGTAAAAGATCTGGCATGACCTTCTACACTGTGGTGTGCTGGAGCAGCAGCATCATGACAAGAAATGCAAATAGGCTCAATAAACTCATCAAGAAGGCTGGCTCTGTGTTGGGGATGAGCCTTGACCCCCTGGAGGTGGTGGCTGAGAGAGGAAAGCTGACCAAGCTCACAGCCATCATGAACAGCGCCTCTCATCCGCTTCATGGGACTGTTAATTGGGCAGCGGAGCACTTTTAGCAACAGACTGTTCCAGCTACGGTGTTCAAGGGAACAATTCCATAGGTCTTTCCTCCCGGCGCCTGATTGGGTGTATAACGCTGCCCTAGGTTAGGACTGTTAGCCCTTCTTTTGAACACTCAATCTGTACAGTATATACCTATGCACATTTTGCACATGTTTTATTGTTTTTACAGTGACTATGAGCATATTTTGCACACACCTATGTATTTATTTTTTATTTATTTATTATATATTTATTTTGTATTGCTGTACATATTTTAATTTTTCATCTATTCTGATGTCTGTTTTTTTTGCTTGTCTTGGGCTGGACTGCTGTAACACATCAATTTCCCTTCGGCATCAGTAAAGTCTTATCTGTCTATCTCTATGAATTGCAAGGCCTGATTTACTGAATTACAAACCATTTTGCAGATTAATCATCCATTTATAGCTGAGGCAATAATAAGATTTTAATATAATCTTGTTATATTTTAATATGTACTTTAATAGCTGAAGTGTGATTAATTCAACGTGGTTTTAAACTTGGTTATTCTTAGAAGAAAAAAATGTCTTATTTTAAAACCATTACAATTTGTATCAAATAAATTGTGATTTCCTAATATATTATAACTGCAGCTTTTATTAGCAGTGATACTAATTGATTTCTCGAAAGATTGAATAGCTAGTTTATCCAAGCTAACTGAGCTACATAGTATATGGGAATAACAGGTCCTTTATATGTGATATATTTGGGTGTGTTTGCGTACTTTCATGTAAAATATTTAGACTAATTAGCAGCGAATACTGGATGACTTTTCCCCTTATTTTGAAAAACCGAAGTTTGATGGAAATATGTAATTAATTATTGATGTATTTTTCCACACAGGCTGGAGTAAAGGCCAAGAAAGCCACAGAGTCATATAAATTGTATGTGGAAAAATATGCCACAGCAAAAACAGAATTTGAACAGAAGATGGCTGAAACTGCGCAGGTAGGGTGTCAGTTATATGTAACTCACCTTTGTTCTTCAGATACACTATATTAATTGTAATGAATAAGCCGACAATATATATTGTTCATGTTTTGTCATATTTGTTTCTTGAATCTGTTTACGAACAACTCTGTTTCTCTTTAGTTTTTTGCATTAGTTAGCCATTTTTGATCCAAATATATGAAATATGTCCCCCATATTAACAATCAATGAATTTAACTTGGAAATACAGTTTACTTCATGCCAGACCATTTGCATGCCTCCACTGTGACCTCGAAGTGGCGATGACAGCAGTTGTTGAATTATTATTTCAGTGATGGTGGTTAACTCCATCGAAAATAGTAAACATATGATGCCCCTGTGTCTTGTTTAAATATGGGAGTCTGTCCCTCCATAGCTGGCTCTTACAGACTTTTGAAGTTATCTGTACAGATTTATGGAGCTGTCTCATCCTAAAGAGTACAGTCACATTGAGGGCAGAGAACAAAACAATCCTATAGTAAACAAGATTGGTTACATAATTGCAGAAGTGCTTGGTATGTGCCTCGTTAAAATCCATCTGTCCCGAAGAAACAGCAAAATAAAATGGAAACAAGTTTCCTTCCTAGTACTGCAATTGCTCTAGCAGTGTAATCATTGCAGTTTGCTTTGGATGTTGAAGTTAAAACAGGACTTGACTGGAAACTGAACTGAATTGAGTGTTTTCTTAAATTTGTTTCACGGCAATAGAAAAAAATCCAGTAAATTACAGAGGCCTTGACATTGACCTTACATTATTTTTGTATTTGGCTTTTTTACATTAATATAATAAGGCAGATCATCTAAAATATCCTCTCTTAATTTTAATGCTTTATGTGTGTTAATGTTCCAAGTTTGCTGAAACAAAACACTAACTGTTCTCTAGCTGTGAATATTATGTGTCTGTCAGGCCCTGTGTGACACTGAACGCCCAGCTACTAGATACTAATATTTGCATCTATTCCAAAAATATACTGGTTTTACCATCAAATCTTATTAATATTTTATGGTAAGCGATACGTCACAAATACGTCACAAATTCTGGTATATGTAATTCACATTACTTGGGTAACACTTTAATTTTAGAAAAAAAGTTTTAAATTTAAGGAGCTTTTTAAACACAACGCATAATAATAATTTAAGTGGTCTTTATCCACTTTATTTGCGTGCCTTGCTCCTGATGCTCGCTGAGATAGGTTCCAGATCCCCCTTGACCCAGAAGTGGATAAAGTGGTTAGAAAATTGATGGATGCATGATCCATTTTTATTTTTATTACAACTTACCGACAGAATTGTTTGCGTCAGTTTTACATCAGCTGTAACACAATATTACAGCAGAAGAAATGATTATATATTTTTTAAGCATAATGCTGTAATGAACTACTTGGTGGTTTGGAAACATCGGCAGAGGAATAGGAAATGCTTTTGTTCAGATCAGTATAGGGCCTGATCAACTACATTACTTACTAATGAAGTAAATCTTTTATTAAAACAATAAAAAATAACATTTTTAATTAAATGAAGATCAATCCATGTAGCAAAACAGAATGTAGAGCCCGAGTTACCAAACCCCTTATATGCAAAAACATTCATGTAGAATGTGCTTGGTAATACTACAGTGTACTTTTTAGCAATTGTAGTGATCTATAGTATCAGTACTAGATGAATATAGTATATTAACATACTAAAACAATAATAGGCATGAATATTTAATCACTTTCAGGTTAAATGGCAAAAATTATTTCCTTGCCGGATATGAGTTCCTACAAGACGGGTTCATACACAACATCTAAGCTCCAAAAATGTAGGTCCTTTTACCTGAGTGGTTTAAAAAAATTAAATGATGAACATTTTTCTGACAATATACAGCTGAGCTAATTATCCAGGTGAGTGGGATTTGTGTGGACCAGAATATGCAAGCCGGAATATTAAACCAGTTGGCCATTTGTTGTTATATGCTGATTCATAGCAAAGCAAGTTCTCTTTTCACTACCACTGTACCAACTACATTTTTTCAACTTCAGAAACAATTAAATCACAGATGAATAAATGAGCAATAAAAAGATGGGGAGTAGTACAGGTGAAGGGATCACAGTGAAACACACAGAAAGTGTAACAGGTGAGGGGATTGCAATGATACACACAAGGAGTAACAGGTGAGGCGATCACAGTGAAACACAGAGAAGGAGTACAATGATCACATTGTAGCACACACAGTACCAGTACAGGACAGGAGACCGTGGTATAGCCACAATTCATGTTACACCCCACAAATTGTACAACCACTTAAGTCAAAAAGTCTACATCAAGTCTATTGCTGGAAATTCACTAGATTGTTTCCTGATCCAAATCTGACCCCTCACTGGCACAGATCCCAGGTTGGCTTTAATAATGAAAGATGATTTTCATATATACCTAAATGCCAGATTTCTACCCAGTGATTAACTGATACGTAGGTATAGAGCCTGTATGTATTTCGACTTAAAGTTCCCGTCCAAATATCTAAACACTGATTTTATCTTTACAACTATAGGTAGGTTTTTTGCAAATCAAAAATGTATTCTTTTTTTCCTCTTGTGTTTGAGGAAACAGAAATAACTTTCCTTGTTGGTGCCAGTGTTTCGGTTTTGCTTCTTTAAGTGTAAGATCACGAACACCTCACACTTTGGGCATGTATTTACCTATACCATCCTTTAATATTTAATACCCACTGCGTCACAATCCCCATGGTTTTAGCTATGGTTTACCATTCAAACTGGAGTTATTCATGAAAAAATACGAACTGCAAAGGATGGAAAGTACACCCCCATTAGAACAGCTTTTCTCTCTTCTGTCTTTTACAGCCAGAGATAATACTGTCTTAATGTATCTCATGTATGGGCCACCCCACATAATTGATAACGTCTGTTAAGTTGCATGATGGTGGCATCTGCATTGAGGACCACCCAGGACTAAGGACACACAGTGTGCATTAAAGAACAGTAACATGCTCTATTTTTTGTGTCATCTAATAGAGCCCAACAAGCATGCTCCTAAATTAGGCCTTTAAATTGGTTCTGTCTAGCTTATTTTAATGTATCTTGATTCCTTGCTCGTTTTGAAATTGGTAGAAAAGGAAATTGGATGTCAAATACAGACATGAAAGTAATTTTGGAACAATAATTCAGGATCAGGAAAAGTCATTTTAACTCGCAGTTTTTGCGGTCTGGAAATCTGGATTTCTTACAGATCAGCAGATATGCAATTGCAGTTTTTTTTTAATGAGGGTGATTTGTTTGTAGAAATTTCAGGATATTGAAGAAGCTCATGTTGTTCACATGAAGGAGATGATCCAGTCATATTCTCAGGCCATTGAAGAAACACATATACAGATTGGAGAGGTGAGTTTAATCTTTTAATATGATAACTATAAAGAGTTGACACGGCTGCCTTTTATGTGTGGTTTAAAATGTGTTTTTTATTTATTTTTCTGGATTATTATTGTGATAATAGTTACAGTTGTTACACTTCATTATTTGTACAGTCTATGTTTTAACTTAAATAGACCTTCAGCTTGATGTCTAGAAGAAAAAAAGCTTTCACTCTCGTTTGACTTCTTCAGGGGCAGATGACACCATTTTCATAGATGTTATGGTACAGGCTTAGATCTGTGTTGTTTTGACAGTATGCCAGATCAATTAGTTAGGGTTTTGATCCCCTTAATCTTTTAATTGAGAACCAGGAAATGCTCTGAGGAACATTTCTTTGATCCAATTAAAATTCTAATCAAAAACAGTAGTAGTAGTTCAAAACTACAAGTTTTTAATATGTTTTTGTTTTGGAGAGATGGATATAATAAGATGTTTCTTTTAGGCTATTCCACAGGTAACCTTTATTGGTACTAATTTTACATTTTGATTGAAGAAATAGTTTAAAGACAGTGGTGATGATAATTGTTTTATACAAAAACTTGTGTTTAGTGTCAGATATGTGATAAACGAAATACAAAAAGACATAGTACGATACAGGAAAAGGATTTGACAAATATGATCTTGAAGAAATTCTGGGATTCTCTTTTGACCTGCATTCTGTATAGCCTTAGTGAGTCGAATGGGCAGAGATGCCTTGGCTGTATGCAGTGAAGTCAGAAGTATATAAAGCACAGAGAGATTATCTTCGGCAAACAGATTCTACTCACAAGCTAAGGTGAACAGTGATTCTTGTGTTTGAGGACCCACCTTTTCAGTTAGCAACTGTGATTTAAACATTTTAAATTTTAAAATTATGGCAAAATGTTTTGCATAAAAACTTGCTTCTGAATCACCACACAAAGATAATGAAGTGCTTGTTATGTTCATTAATGCCAGTGGGTGGCGCCACTTTCATGAAGAAATGGGATAATTAGGTGCGGCTGTCATTAATTAGGCTACATAGCAGACTCGGGCTAAGGAATTTATTGTCAGACTACTGCAATGATTTACTGTAATAAAAATAATCATCATTTCATAATAAATAACAGAAAGTTCTATTACTATGTTGGAGTGACAATCTATATGGCAGTGACTAAATGCCTTACTTATGATTTACTTATTATGTGGAATCTAGTCATGTTTTCAATTCTTTAGGCAGTCTTTACAGTGTGTTGAAGTATTTATACATCTGGAGTACCTTTTCATTAGTCAGCATAGTTGTATCTCATTGACAAAATAAAAAGAAAATGTAGATACTAAGTCTTTTTCAGTCCTCCTAAAACATAAACAGATGATTTGTTTAGTGTTAGAATGTACAAATCATACTCTAGTATTATACTGTAATAATACGAGTGATGCTGTAATACTCGATCGCGTCAGTTCAGAATAATACTGGATTGTTTTAATGTCATTCTAAAGCAAATATTCTAGTGCAAAATCGGAATTAAATGTGAAGAATACAGGCAATGGGAGGAAGGGCTCTTGCAGGCTCTTGTCTGTGCATGTGAGCAGGCAGGAGGAGAGAGGCGACATGCTGGCACTGACGTCATGCCCAGGTCTTGGCCTGTTGTCGGCAGCGCCACTTGACAGGTTGCGTGTCCCGAAATGAGCATTTACTCTCCCGGCCCTTGTGTCCCGCAACAGCGCAGTAGGTTAATGCTCTCTGCTGCGCCTAGAGGGATGCTTTGTTGTGTTCACAGAAACACGAATGTCTTTGTGGGCAGGTAGGATGACACAGCCGGCTCTCTTCCCCTCTGCCTCCAGCTCCATCTTGCCGGCAAGCTCCTGCGCGGTGATCCGCCCTGCTATCAACAAAAAAGCCGTTTTTTTTAGCCTCGCGGTTTGTCCTGTCAGGCTGAATTTTAGAAAGGGGATTCCTAATAAAAATGGCATAAATAAGCAAATCAAGACAAGCTGCTTACTGGCAGAGGATAAAAAAGAGGCCTCTTTGCAGTGCCTGGCAGCAAACACCAGGCATATTGCTTTTGTCGTCACATCTGAGTGTCCGTCAAAGCAAGTACAGACCTTATCCCCCACGGACATGTGCTGTCAGCTGTCAAACCCTACCTCCTCCACATAGTTCTGTAATTTTGAGATACATTGGAGATTTCATGGTTGTCATGCTAAGCAAGCAAGCCTCAAACAAGTTCTTTTTTTTTCCATTTGTTTGAAAGAAATCTGACTAGCTTTTTTGATTCAGTAGTAAATCACTGATGGAGCAGTGGGATGGAGTTCTTTATTAATTGTTTTTGGCCTCTTTGCTTGTGTTGAAGGTTCAGAATGAATTTGTAAACAACATGGAGAACACTACAGTAGAAAGTCTGATACAGAAGTTAGCCGAGACGAAAGGAACAGGAAAAGAACGACCTGGTAAGAGTTTGTTTTCCACTAGGAGGGAAAAAAGAATTGTATTACCTTTTCTAAGTCATACCTTGGTCACATTCTGTAATTTACATACTTTGAGCTAATCTACTGAAGAAACAATAGCTTTCCTACAATAACACGTTTTTGAATACATCTGCTCACTGGCTGTTGATTTTCAAAATACCTTTAAAAGCTACACACTGGAGTCTTAAGGCTCCCTTGATTACTGTAGCATTGCATAGTTTACACAAGAGTAATTGTTGAGCCATGACCCCATAAAGCTAGTTTTGACCACTTAGTCCAGGAGTTAAGCAAAGCCGTGCTACTCGTCACATGCCTACTGGAATGTCAAGACTGCCTACTTTTTCATGAGATTAAATTTATTGAGTTTGAGAGGTTTTTTTCCAGGCCTTAATTACCTCTCTCTTTTCTTTTTGAGTCCTTTGGCTCACTTTTTTTTTCACTGTCCCCCCTTTCTGTGTTATTCTGACATTTCTGTTTTTGCTTCAGACCTCTGCCATATATGAGTAGATTATTTGATGCTGGCAAAATTTAAAAGACTTAGCCTGTGTATTATAGAGGTTAAAAACCATGCTTTTCATGTCTGCTTAAAGCAAAGTAATGTTTTGATTGCAGATCTGAATAAAAGAGAAACCTAAAAGCGCCCAGCTGGGGTTTCCTGATAATAGAAAAGGTAAAATATCCACACTGACATGGGATACGTTTTGCAAGCAAATTTTAGAAGTGAAACTTTACAGGGCTTTACAACTTGCCACATTTACTGCAGTTACTACAGTTATGAAACGGTTAAGCATTACTGTCATTTGCACAATTTCCTGGACACACAGTGTGACAGGAGGTTTGTTTAAATATGAACTTACCTTCCATGTCAGGATAGTATATTAAAAAAGACAGCAAAAGCAAATGACAGGAGTTGATGTACAAGACATATTTTAGAGTAAAGGTTATTGGGTGATGTTTAAAAGATGCAAGGACATCACGCGACGTCCACTCTGTGAAGACATCCTCTTGTACTGTATTTTTTGTACTGCGCCTCCACCTGCACTCATGCCACAGCACGTCCGTTTGTTTTTACTCGAATAACTAAAATTGAAGAAAGCCTGAACTAAAAGAAATTATTCACAGGCCAAGTTTCTGTTTTCCTTACCATATGGGGATGATGTCCTTTGCAGTCTGGACTGTATGTCATAAAAGTTAATGATACTTTATATTGCATCAGATACTGAAAACAAAGGAGTTCTTAAGTGTGTTTGTGTATACACAAAAGTTGACCTTTGTGTTGAGGCTCAGCATCTAAGCATCAGGAGTGATCATTTGTTTTGACAGCAGAATTAATTGAGGCTAAAACAGTTGAAATTCCACTTGTATCAAGCTGTTCATTAGAAATTGCACTCTGGCTTCAGTGCTGTCAGAAAAATAACCTGGCCTCCTATGATTAAATAGCAGAATGATGGCCGGTCCAGTGGTTTTGAGAGAGAGGTTGAATAAACTTTCTACTGCGGAAACAATTCTGAAGTGACACGCTGCAAGGGGGGTCAGAGTGTGCATTGATATCCAGCTGAGCTGTCAACTGGCTCTGAGCCAGGCACGCAAGGGCTCTGCCGCTTCCAGCGCCATGTGAAGCATATGCGATTTCAAAAACTGTCCTTCTTTCATGCGTGAGTTTGTGCCTCGGCAGAATCTTCTTTTATATAAACCAACCTTCTGCCTTGCTTACAAACTGTTTAAACAAAGCTTAATGCCTCCCTGTTATGATTTAGGTAAGAACGGCGTGTTTGTTGTTGTGCGTTTGAGGAAACCTAGTTGAATATGAGAGAAGACTGGTGTGAGCAGGTCTGTTTCACAGAGCTTGAGTACTGTTTTGACTTAAGTGTGTGTTTACCCGTTTAACTTAGTGCATTCTAATGTACAGTATTACCATTACACACACTTTTGTGTAACACTTTTTAGGCACACTTTTTAAAATATTAATTGATTTTGTGGTTGATAGAAAGGTTTTTCTTCCAAAAATGTGCCCCTGCCCCTAAAAAAAAAACACTACTTGCTCAGGTAGTGGCATCAGAGAATCACACATTTGGAGCCTCAATCTAATTTAAACATTATAATACCTGTCATGACTCTGCTGTGTACCTAATGTCTATTCCTACAATGGAAACATGGAAGCAGAGCCTGTGTTATCACCATTGTACCAGATTTGGAAGAGCTTTTTGTTTTTTGATTGTATCTAAGTATGCAAAGTAGTCACATCATTGTGTTGGCCAGGGTTAGAAAATAAACAAGGGGCCAGATACTGTGAGAATACTGTGCAATAGAGTAGATCAGTTATTGCTGGGCTAAATCCACTCGATGATGCATGCCTCTTGTGATGTTTTTCCCAGTACAGCACTGTGAACAATGCATTAATTCTACATTCAGCTTGGTTCTCAAGGGAAACAATATTGAACCACTGCCACATTTATTTGACTTAAATATCATTAGGTTTGTTTTTTCAGGTCAAGGGATTCTGTGTTACCAAATACTGCTTGACAATCACATGTGGTCTGGTTGTAAACTGTGTTACCATCTTCTAAACCTGTTTTTTTTTGTACAAAAAAGAAGTAGTCACTAAAAAATTATGGTATCTTCTGGGATTACACAAAAACAGCCATAAAAAAGCTGATTTTTCCAAATCTAACATCAGTTAGATTATGTGTTCTATGTTGCAGTAAAAGAAAAAAATGGAAACCGTCTTAAAATTGTGTCAACGTTTTTGTTGTGATTGAGATAATAGCTGAATACAAAACCATATTTTTGAAGAAGTCAAGTGTAAGAGAATTATTTAACATAATTTCAACCTACATTATTCCATTCCCCAAAAAGATTTGTATTTACTATTGTGATAATGAATCTTTTGTATTTATAACAATGTACAGTGAAGTGGTAAAGCAAAGCACTGTGTTACTACAGTGTTAGGAATTGCACAAAAAAATACATGTATTGTGAGTGCCCTTTTGTATTTATATTTTTGATATTTTTATGTGTTTCAATAGATCAGCCCTAACCTAAATCATTTTTAAATCATGTTAAAAAAATGAAAATGTCCCCATTTGTAAGGACCAAAGCTTTGCATGTGTAAAGAAGTTTCTCATTTCCATAATCATCCACATTGCATTATTTATAGTCTTTTTTTGCATTGATTGGCTAAAGTGTGCATTAGTGTTAGTCAAGAAAATAAAATTGACTTTCCTCACCACATTTTCCCCTGGGATCTGTTAAGATTCAATATTTTCAAGACACTTGATTGTCCTGATTTTATCTGGGGAAAAAACAACAACCTGAGAACCTTACTTCAAAAGTGCAATGCTTTAAAGCTAGCTGTGCAAAACTGAGGAGTGTTAAATCACGAGTGGCCTTTGTTATTATTTTCAGGGTCTCTTTTTTCCCCCCACAGTAAAACCTTAGGAAACCTGTAAATTAAACTGTGTGTTTCCTTCTTTGTAATAAAATTAATCTAACCTGCTGGAGTAAGGAATTGTAACGAGTCCAAATAGTACAGACATGACAGTGCTGCCTTCTTGCACTTGTGTACACATGTAAAGTGCACACTCACTTTAATGTTGGCATATTGCATTATTTGTATGTAACATTTTCAGATAATTATGTTCATCTGTGTACTTGCACGCCTAGTGCAGATTCATACAGATGTAGTGCAGATTCACACAGATGTTTACTTTGAAAGAATAGAAGACCTCAGTGATGCCCACCGAAAACCTGTTGGGTCTATGTATTGCTGCGACTCCCCACTAGGTAGCAAGGTAGTAGGTAGTCAAGAAATGACTGCAATTCAAGCCAAGAATGAATAAGTCCATTTGTGATATGTCATCAAGCAACTTTTTTTTTTCCCCCCTGTTTCATTTAGGGCCGATTGAATTTGAAGAGTGCAACACTGCCATTGCCACGGAAGGTCAGTTATGACATGTCACTTTAATGCGAACTCATTTGTGTTAAATAGATTGTTTTTGCATTTGATGATAATGCATTTTAAAACGGTGTCAGAATAATGTGAATATACAAAATCTGCAGACTGGACTGTAGGGTGATTTATCAGAATGGATACGTTTCAGCCCTGCACAGTTATGCTGCACTGCTGTGACTATCTGAGGACCAGCTCAGTTCTTTGATATATATAGTTTAAGATTTTGTTCACCATACAAGCAACATTATTTTGGAAGTATTTGTTTTTTCCAGGAATTGAATATATATAGTATTAAGGCATATTGCTTTTACAGCTATCTTGATCTGCTCTCTTAATTAAGCAGTTGTATTATGTTGTTTTTTTTTTAAATTTAGGAGCAAAGCCACGGAAAAGAAAACCATTTGGCATACCGGGTCGCAGGAGAGATAAGGATACAGATTCAACGTAAGTGCAAATTTCACTCAGGCTGGTAGACATTGTCATTAAGTATTTTCAGCATAGAGGGAGCATCTAGAAAAAAAGGGAATCTTTGGGAAAATAATTTTGTCAGAATTAAGGAGTCTTAATTAGAAAACAAAATGTTTAATTGGTTGCAATCATTTCCGTTCATCTTAAGTTTTGAAGTTTTAATTCGGTGTAATTACAATTGCCGAGTTGAAACAGCAATGTCATTTGAGGTACTCCAAAATGTCAAACACAACAACTGAAAGAGCAGTGGTGATGCCACCAGCGTTGTCATACGTGTGAAAGCTCCCTTAACAAAATGATAAAGCAGTGACTCAAATTTGAATAGGTCTGTTGTTTATTGTTCAGATTCAGTTTGGGTGTTTTGTAAATTACAGTATGTTTAATATTTAGTTTTTTTTTTCCATTCTGGCTGAAAAATAAATACATTTAAGCAAACTAAATATAAAGGAAATCCACCATTGCAGTGTTTTGATTAAATATTCTCTTTTTAGGGAGTCGACAGAAGCTGAATCTGTTGTGAGTAGTTTATTTTGTTTTAAGTCTTCACATACCTATAATAAAAATACTAGTATACCTCAACATTTGACTAAACTGTTTAAACTGACTGACGTGTATTTCTGTTTTTCCATTTTCATTAAATCGGTACAATTTAAATTTGTCATACACTGTTCATTTATTGGTTTTGACTTTTTTAATGAAAAAAGTGTATTTCCTAAGACTACAATTGACTGAAAATCCTCCCATGGGACTTTTCTCTTATTTGTGTTGATTTCAGTTGGTTTACATAGTTCAACAGAAACAGTCACATCTTCAGCCTGTTCTGTGCTTTTACAATTATATGGTTTTGGTGAAGAATCTTTAAACATAAATCAATTCCTGCTTTAGTTTCCGTTTCTTTTGCCTCTTTGTTTTCTATCTTAACTATCTTTCTTTGTGTGTATATAATTCAAGAAGACATCCAATGGAGCTCCCTCTGGCTACTATGGGAGAATAGATTTACTGAATGCTGTAAGTAAACGCCTTTAGGCACAATCCATTTCCACACATGTATTATACTTCTTATTGTTATTTTAGTGGAATTTTAATAATAAAATAGTTCTTACCCTATGCAGTATTAGACCTAATTCTTTTTAGATGGGTTCAAATGCTTCTGGCTTGCATTATTAATACAGCTCTGTGTCCAGCCAGGTCTAGGATAGCATGCATTCATACAACAGAACTTGGCTATGTGTTATGCTATTATACTGCCAGTCATGCTTTGGGAAATTGATATGCTGTGTGGTTGCTCTTAAGGGAAACTCTTTCTTTTTCCTTGTTTTCATTACTTTTGTCTCTTCAGGGAAGGGTTCTCTGATTCTAGACCTACCAGTCTTTGGATGAAGTGTTTCTTTTTTTCTTGGATACACTAACTTTTTCCAATGAATATAAGAGTTAGTCGTGTAAGGAAATAATGTATTACAGTGAATTGGAAGGTCTGAACTTCACATGGTTTTGATTACAATGACTGCCTTTGATAAAAAAAGTCTGATCTCACAAGGGTATTGTTTTGAATTTTCTGTACTACATTGCATATTTCTTATTAAGGTGATAAAGATTTTTGTTGTTGCCTTGAACATTTTTACTTGTATTTATTAATTTATGAAACACAGGTCTTTTCCTCCTTCAGGAAAATAATTTAAAGGTCTAGGCAGCTGACTGTTCATATTGATTTCTTATTTCTTACAGAATGCCCCGCAAGTTGATGATGAAGGTTTCTGCATCAGGCCAGAAGTGAACGAGAATGATATCCTGCAATACTGTTACTGAACCAGCAAAAGACTACTAAATCTGTATAACATAGACCAGTAGGATCAGATTTAAGGTCCTGGAAGTAATCCTTCTGGGGAGCTATTCTCCCGCTCATGTAACAATAATTCCTTTTGTCTTTAATGCTTAAAAATATAGCTAAAACATTTAACAGTATATATCCTTTTTAGGTATCTGAAATGGCATCTGAGTGAGAACACATGTTATCCACTAGAGCTCATACAGAATGAAACTATCAAAGCTTTTGTGTATAAACACCAATCCTTAACTAATTAAATACATGCCAAAGACAATTTCTACTCGTCAAGCGATTCTGATGATGATGAGGAACCCAGGAAATTCCGGGTTGAGATTAAACCTGTTCAGCCCAACAATGGAAATCATCAAGCAATGTCTTCGATAGATGAACTGAAGGCTTCTGTAGGGAACATTACATTGTCACCATCTGTGTCGGTAAGTAAAAAACCTTGCATCTATTAAGGCTAGGAAAAAATATACAACTAGATCTGTGTTCCTTTTTTTAAAAAAAAACAATGTAAAAAGCAGCATAACAATATTGAGATTCCTTATAAAACGTGCTAAAAAGTACACGCAGATTTGCAATATACAGCTTTAACCACTTTGAATAAAACCACATATTGTGTGCACTGGTTGCTGCGCTTAGTAGTTAATTTACATTGTGCGCAGACAAGTTTACTTGAGGAAGAAAAACTGGCACAGGGGATTTCGTTACATGTAAACAGTGAATAAACTGAGTGTTCTTGCTTCAACATATGAATCCTCTAGAGCAAACCTGTCACATGAAAGCACATGCTGCAATTTTGAAGCTGTCATACACTCTGGATTTGGGCTTCTGATTTCCTGTGCCATGTTGGAAACTCATCATTAATTTAACATTTGTGTCTGAAGCACTGAAACATTTTAGCAGATGCCTATAGGTTGCTCGTTAGTCTTCCTCTCAATTATTGGAATGCCACCTTAAAAGTAAAATTTTTCATCCATCTGATCACCTTGAGAACTGTGTACATTTTTAGGTTTAATCCCAAATTCTGTTGTACATGTTGGATATACCTCTGGAACACTAGATGGCGACAGTAGATGTAATATGAAATCATTAAAGAAGCACTTAAGTACTTCCAGACAGAATTATAAAGGGATCAACTGCTAAAGGAAATGTAGCATTTGCAATGAACCAAATACAGCTCTATAATATTCTGTAATTTTTAAAAAATATTTCGCATGACTAACAACAAATAAGGTATCGGAGAAACCAGTCAGCTGTGTTCAATATCTTTCAAAGACAAGTTGATATATTTTGTAGCCCCTCTTGTTTCCTGAGACTGTGATGGATTTTAAGTTGTTTCAGGCAAACCCTAAAGTTTGATCCATTACCTGCTTGAGTTTTTTTTCCATTAATATGACAAAAACATTCTGCTTTCATTATTTCAAAATGATGGTTAATAAGAAACGGTTGTTGTGTAACACTGTCCAGAGTACATACATAAGCAATCATTTTTTTACAAGTTAACAATCCACTTTACCCTCATCATTTCAAGTAATTTCATGCTGACTGTCAGCATAAGTGCTGTATTTCAACACGTTTATCTAATTAGAACTATAGAGGTTTATTTGCAGTTGAAACTTTGATGTATGTTGCAATAGGCTGTTTACCAGTTATTATCATTATTTGTAATATGGTAGTGACACGCATTAAATTAGAGTATGTATGTTATACATGGAACATTTCACCTGTAAGGGATTCTTGGGACATAAAAGTTATTTTTATAATAGTTCAGAAGTAATGACATTTTTACTTTGCTTTAATCTGTTTTATTGAGTGAAAATAATGTGTAATGTATTTGTGATACAGTCTCACTATAAAGAAGTATGCTATGCTCATATAAATCACACCTACATAGCTCTTTACATAGATTATATTAATAAATATCTAATAATAAAATTAAATATTGTATTTGCAATATGACTACTTAAATATGTGAACAAGACGTGTTGTAGATTAATTATATTTTTTTACAGCAGTTTGAAGGTAACAAACCTTAACAGATTAGCTGTAAAATACTTGTGTTTTTGCAGTACGCTTTGATGGCTATTTTAGGTTCTGATTCATATCTGATTGCCGAGTGGTTTTAGTCAAAAAGACCTTTACGTATAGCTGAGCATGGGGTGAAGTGCAATATATAACACAAAATTTGGACTGGAAAACTTTGGAGTACAAAGAATCAATATATTAGTTTGATTTAACAAACCTTCACTTTGGGTACTCTGGGGAAAAAAAAGAAAAATAAGCAGCCATACACACTGCTGAGCACTGATCCTCTTTAAAAACATTTTGAATTGTCAAATAGTACTTTAACATTAAACAACCTTTTTGTTTCATTTACCACCAAAAATGATCAAATGTATACATAATGAGCTGATACTCCATCTCACAGTACATTCAGATTCACTAAATAAGGATTAATATGACATGATTTCACAATACAAGTTTTGTAAGTATTAACATTTGTATAACCGACCAAAAACTATTTTTGCTTCTCTGTAGATTATATATGTTTTATATAAAGAGTAAAGGGGGATTTACAGCAATTCATATAATTAATATCCTTAAATATTAATGTTGTGTGATATTATAGAGATCTCCACACCCTGTGAATTAATAGTATGATAAGTTGCCAAAACTAGCAAAGGTTTTGCTTGGTTTTATAAGCATGGTTTTCTTTAAATCTACATTTGAGAATCTATGACATTTTATCTCTTTTCCATCATGTTCTACAAGTTTACAGTCCCATTGTTTCTGATTCCATTAGACTCAGATAGGATGCTATCAGTAGATATGCAGTTTCCCGTTTCACACTGTATTTTTAGACTTATCAAAATGGTGTTAAACCAACAATAATTTAAATAATGCTAATATTTACAATCCTATTCAGCTGATCATTAAACATCTGTTTAAACACTGTTTACCCTAGAGGAGCAAAAAGATGTATTGAGCTTTTCAAACAAGGCCTGTGCCATATATAAAATAATACAAAAGCACAGGATTTCAACAAAAAGTTAAAAAGCCATGCAGTGAGCTGAAAGAATCAAATTTCTCCTTTGAGAGGTAACACTTGTATATGAAGAGTGACAATTATGTCTATGATGGGTTACACATTTCATACTTCAATTACTGATTTTGATTTCTGCCAGCAATAAAACAAGTCTTTGCTGTGGTTCATTGTTTTGTTTGTTTTTGTTTATTTTTTTGAAAATAAAATGCTTGTGCAAAAAAAAATAAAGGAAAAAAATTGAGCTTTGCTCTCTAAAGATGTGTTGTCAAATGTTCCCAAATACAGAAAAAATTCAGATGATGACTAATGTTGTATCATCTGGTGTAAATTATTGAAAGAGTTTTTTCAAACCTGTTCTTCAACTCCCTTATGTGGAATTCTTTATTAAAATAGCAGTGGAAGTAAAGTGTGTGGCCAGAACATAGTAATTGAACCCATTTGCTTTTCAGTGCCTGTGGGATCAACTGTAGCTTTATAGGTCTCCAGTGGTTTAACGGTTTAACTGTATTTCCTTTACTTTTTTGCAATGCATTATTAAAATTAATGCACAAAGTTTCCATTTGGTTCTACAGAAGTAGATTTCTTCAGCACACTGCTGTGTCAGAGTTGATTTAGAGTTCCATGCTTTTGACTCATGAAAGTGTTTTCTGTGACTGTGATTGAGTGTTTTACAAAGTTAAGTATTGCATTCAATCTTTCAGTATTTTTCACTGCAAGTTTAGTGTCTGGAATGCATTAAAACCTTGCTTAAAGTGCCCAGGAATTTATTATCATTATTGTGCAGAGAAGCTAAATGATTCACAGGGACCGTGCAGTAATACAGTGTGTATAAAAACTAAATATGAAATAATTTATAACTTAAATGATTTTTTTCTCTCTCTCATGCTTCCTTTAGAGGACTAGTCCGGTGAGTATTTTAAGGATCCCCTTTTTAAGGCTTAGCTTACCCAGACTATATTTTGGCAGTAGTCATTTTTTGTCTGAGTTTTGTTTTCAAATTTGTTGTGTTTTTGTTGTTGTTTTCTACTTTATTAATCTGTACTTGACATAAAATTAGCTGGTATTCCCACAGTAAAAGAAAACGAGGGTATTTAAAGCTCATGCACACTCCTAACTTGACACGTTAATTAAGAATGAGAAGCACAGACGTGTTACGAAAGGGTGTGAGCCCTGTACAAGAGTTAAAGAAAAGACTGTGATGAAAGAAAGCGTTTCTTGCATCTCAATATCATTCATTCTTTTCTTTTCACTTTCAACAATGCCATACCACTTATTAAGCAGCACATTGATACGTACTGTATCACTGTAACCATATAACGTAACTGTATATGGTTACTTTATGCTTTTCATTTGTAAGCCTGAAGTCAGGGCTATTTTACTATCTTACTGCAAATGTCTCAGAAAAGCAGCTTCTGAGATCTCAGCGCAAACCAAAGAGCTTTGCTCTTCTGTTTTCAGTAGCCTCTTTCTAGAGCCCTGCCTAAGTAATTATTAATAACGCAAAAAGTACTCTCTGTAAATTGTTTTAATTATTAATTTGTGTTTTATATTTCTCCCTTGCTTATTTTTATGTTGTTATTGTTGTTTTGCCTTGACAATGCATGTTTTTGTTTTCTCCAGGCTCAGATGAAAAGGAATTCATCCAGTGAGTATTTTGCTTTTCTTTTAATATTCCCTTCTAATGTCAGACTTTAGACTTTTGGTTTCACAGAAGATAATTTAAAATTTCATGTGCACTGTGCACTTCATAAAGGATGTGTTTTCTTTTAGATACAATGTCCGTATAAAAGCAAAATCTTTTCTAGTTATTCCATCATTGTTCTTACAGTGCATTATTTATATATTTTTCTTTAATTGAAAATGTGAGACATTGATGTATTATTTCATTGAAAAAGAATTTTGTATTTTAATTTGTACAGTTTCATACGTTTGTGGTTACAAATATGTATGTAATTAGCTATAAACTTAGGAACAATAAACTATTATTTACATTTAAATTAGATATCACATACTCTGTGTAGGTCACATTTTCATTGAAGTAGTATTTTCCATATCACTTCAGCATATTTAGTCAAAGCACCATCAATTTTTTTATTTTCATTGGTGAATACAATTTTTCCATCATATTTCTAAGATCAGTACAATTACATTGTTTAATGTGGGAATGTGTCCTTTGACAGATGGTTCAGTGTCTTCTATTTTTTCCACTTGAATGGCATATCGCTGAGGAAAGGAAATTCTGATCCTTTTATTCACAGATTGTATTTCTTTTGTGATAATCAGATCTGTTTAAGTGTTGGAAAGTATGAGTGAGCTTTTATATTTAAAAAATATTTCACATGACTCAGGGCTGTCAGGACTCTATACACAATCGTCAGTAGAGTCACAGTATCCACATATTTCTGGTAAGTAATCCAGAAAGTCTCTACTCTTCTCTTCAGCTGTGGTGCCTGTGCTATATGGTATTGGGCCTTTTTACCTTTTAACATCAAGGGCTTATCTAACATCAAGGGGTTCTTTGCAAATAGTAATCTGGTTGACTCTTCTTCTGTTTTCAAGAAGGAACGGTACACTTAACATTGATCATTCATCAGATATTAGGCATCATTGCTACTTTTTTAAATGTTTCAATTTGCAATTTAAATTGTTTGCTTTGTATAAAGCTTTTGAGTTAGCAAATAATAAAATTGCATCTAAATAAGTTCCAAATCCGTAATACACAATAATTATTGTTCAATGTGCACTTTTAATAAGTAGAATAATGACAGTTAACAGTGGTGAATATATTCTTATTCATTGCAGAACCTAAAGTGTTAATAGAATAATCTGTTATTTATATGTTACATTGTTTTATATACTGTATATATATGTAGAGACAGACACTCTTAAGGAGTCAGAGATGAATACAAATTATGAACATAATTCCTTAAAATAAATTTAAAAGCTTTCCATTGATTTAAATGTATGTATTCATCCTTCAGATTTCGAGTTGTCAGTGGTATTTTCATATCTCCCAATTTCTTGCCATCTATTTTTTAATCCATTTGGCTGACTGCTACAGTCTTGAATGGAAGAAGATGACACATGTCCTGCAGAAAGTTCACGCTCAGGACAAACACATCTTTCTTTCAGCTCGGCAAATGTACATCACCAATGCAAGAGAAAAGTCATCTGTGGTAGGACAGACATAACTGTTCACAAGGGTACTGTAGGTTCACTGGTGTCTCCCTCATATTTGGGGAAATACTGTAACCCTGATTTGCACCAGTGACTTCTGGACTTTAATCTTCAGCCTGCATTCTGAATAAGTGGCTTTCCTAGTTGGGAGTAACTTTGGGGCCACTCTTATGATCAGTGTTGTTGTACATTTGTCTACATATGTGGATATATGGAAATAATTTGTCATACAAGTCATGTTTTACACGTACTTTGATTTTGTGTGTAAAAAGCTTTTTAAAGGACAGTAATCCAGGTGCCATAAGTGGTAAAAATTATTCAGTAATTAATAACATCAATAACTACCACGTCCATATTAGATCATTTCAATGTTGCCTCTTTGTGAACTCTCAATTAATAGCAGAATTCCAAAATATCTATTTGAGTTGATTTTAAATGCTTATCATTAACTGACACTTCGTTTTTTTATCTCTGTTGCAGTGCCACATTTGTTGGGTTGGGGCTTTTTTCTGTTCGTGTTTATATTTCAGTGTTTTGACCAATTTAAAAATCCGCCAGTCGAATTGTTTAATTTGTGGACTGAAGTGACCCACAGGAGAGAGTTTTGTTTCCTCTCTCGGCATGCATGCTTAGTCCATTAGCCTTCCTGGTGGAGGACACAGAACTCTTAATTAGCATTTCACTTCATTCTCCAGTGTAATCATGACAAGATATAAACCCTCCTCTAAAGTGGAAGGTGGTGATATTTAATAAACCTACCACAGCCTCATAATAATGTCACATAATATGAAATTTACCGCTGTATATGTTTTGGTGTACTTGTTGTGAGTTTCTCTTTAGTAATGTAGCATATAATGTCTGCTTTAACAGCCCTACTCTACTATGAAGCATGGTGGATGGCCTCATGAAATGTTATGCATTATTGATGTTCAGATATTATGAACCATCTGCTCTCAAAAAATGATTCTCAACAGCTCTAGGTAATGGTTGTGTTGGCATAACACCATTTGCACTTGTCCTAGCTTCATACTTTTTATTTAAAAAATCATTCATGTGTAATGCAGAAAAATACAGAATACAGGAGATCATTATACTGCTCCTGGTATGTAGCTTGACCCACATGTTATTCATTTCTAAGTTAGAATCATTTCAGTTTGTTGATTGTTAAAAATAGTCAGCATGAAATAAATTCTGAATATGCTTATCACAAGTGGGGAGTCCAAGGTGAATCATTCTACCTACTTTAATATTGCTACAGTATGCATATTTATTTCTGATCATACAGTTATTGTATTCACACAATGTCTTTAGTAATGGTGTGGTGTTAAATCATCTATATGGCAATCTTCAAAGTCCTTTTGTTTCCATCGCCTCTTTGCTTGTGTTTGTTGAGGCTTTGTTAGTGAGCACACATTTCACCTGCTTACCTGATATTGCTTACCTTTGTTCAAGGCTGTGCTTAATGCAGTCTTACAGGTAAAGCATTGCATTTAGCATTGTATAGTAAATGTCTTGTAGATCAGAAGATCAGACTTCTAGGGTTTTTTCAGATTTGACGACAAGGCCTCGAAAGCTGGATGTAAATTATCTAAATATTGGCAGTTTTATAATTCTTTGTCATTCCAGTTTTGTAGTCACCAGCTGTCTGCCTTTTGATGTACCATTTCGGAATCCCACATGGCCCGACAGCCTAAATCTATTACAAAAAAAATGGACTGTTGCACTAATGGGTTTTTGTATTATTTGTGAAACTTAAAATCTGATCTGAAAATAGCAGATGGTTGCATGTTATTTAATGCCCGAGCAGCCACACTCGCTAAGGGAAAAACATCTTGCTGGTGGCAGCCTCTGGGAACTTTTTTACAGTTTCTAATCACGCTACCGTTTGGGCTTGGAGATCAGGTGTTCAAGCAAACCTTGGTGTCTTGCAGAAATACTAATATTTTCCGTGTTTGAACTACAAATGCAGTGCTACCGTGTGCGATTACATGTCAGTTTGCTGTTTCGTTGACATGGGTGATGCCTTATCAGTCATTTGTTTTTTTTAAGACTTGGTGGATTTTAAAGAAATACTGCAAACAAAGCTATACAGAGTACACGTAAAATAAGAAATTAAATGTATTTTAAGAATTAATTTGAAGTTAGCCTTCTGGTTTATTTAATTAGTCTGGAGATTTGTATATTCTCTATACAGTAATTAAATATACAGTATATTAATTTGCTTTTTTAATTCATATTTTAATAGCCCCCCACTTTTTTGTGGATCTCAGACTTAAGGAGTGCTGAACTTTTCCTGGCGGGCAGAAATAGGGTAAAGTTACATGGTTCCTTCAGTCACAACTGATCTAAAGTCTTTTTTTGCTGCAGGTGATGAGTTGGTGAGGTTCAGGCTTCAGGCATCACAAAATGAGTAAGTTGGTGATAACATTTTATAAATGTTGAAGTGCTGAAGAAACATCAGGTTCTCTTCCCATAAAGCCCTTGTGAGTGTGAAAATCAGGTTTCTGTCTTCTAAGTTGCTTTTTTTTTGCATTGTCATCCTTTTGACTCCTACAATAGTTTACTTTTTTCAGGATTTAACTATTTAGGACATAGTACACACTTAATGTAAAAAGCACACTTTTGAATTTCTTTTAAATTAAGATATAGTTGATGTCCCATAGTTATTGTTCTCAGATTCTTTTATTCTCCAAATAAAGCTGGTGTGTTGACTCTATAATTCACATAAGAAAGGGACTAAGGAGTCAACCCTAAAAGCAAACGTTTATTATTTATTTACTGTGACCTTTTTTAAGACCAAAACAGATGATAAACATGTTTTGGATGGTGGCTGTCATGAGCGTTTGTGTACAATTTAAGGAGCTCAATTAAAATAATTGAACTGAGAAATGTTCAGAGAACTCGGTTAACCTGGGCGCTTCAATTTCCTCCCACAAACCGAAAAACACTGTTTAGGTTAATTGTCATGTCTAAAAATTGTCCGCTGTATGTCTGTGATGGACTGGCGTCCCTTCCAGGAATGTACCCTGCCTTTCACCCATTGTCTCCTGGCTAACCACAGCCCTGTATTGGATGAAGCAGTTATTAAAAAGGGATGGAGCAGTAGTGAATTATTCTGCAATTACTTATACCGTAGATTAGCAGCAAGTTATGAAAAATTCCTTTCTCAGAATGGGACAAAATTTATTTTTCATTCAATCTCATGACACACTCTACACATTTGATTAGTGTCTTTTTAAAAAAAGAAATTGCCACCTGATGATCCATAATAACTTTATTTCTGTGTCGGAGCATTTTAGAGCACAAATATAGTGGTTTCCTTCCAAAAAATGTCTAGTTACCAGACATGTTTAATGCTCGCATTTAATCGTTCTCTTCTGTTTAGACTAATATTTAATTGTTGTGAAATTTAACCTGAATATTGTTATCCACTTTGACATACCACATCAGTGCTTTTGCATGTAATGCGTGATTTCATTTTGGTATGTTTACCAGTAGTGGTGTGCAGGAAAGAATCGAGCTTAATAAAATAATTACATAAAGGACAAACCAAACATAAAAGTCTAAACTGGTACAGATGGAATAAACTGCTTAAGCTAAAATCAGACTCTTAGATTTTGACATCTTTTCTAAGAAAAGAGAGGACAATCTTGAAAAGTAGGCATACCAGTGTAAAAAGCCAAAATGCGCCACTGTTTCTTCACAGAGAGCTTGATAGTAGAACTTAAACTAAGCATAGAATAGATAACTTAAAGTATATATTTGTGGATATACCATTGACAGAAAATCCCTCTTGTTACTTGAAGTGCTAAGTAGGAATTCATGGTCATATATTTTTTTTTAAAGGATACTGTATATTGTTTAATAACTACTGTACTTTGAAGCTCCCTTAGTTTTGAGCTTGACAGTGAATAGTAACAATGTCTGGTTGGAATCTGTTAAAAGATTTGTTAGCAACTTTAGATTTATTAGAGGGAAGCTGAGCAGTGCTTTAATTTATGACATTGGTATTGTGTTTGTCTTTCAAGGACTGGGAGCAGTAGCAGCAGGCAGGTCAATAATGATCTGCTTTCCCTGGACCCACTCTTTGGTCCCCCCCTTGAAGCTGCTCCCTCTTCTGTGCCTTCCTCAGCAGGTAATGTCATGATAATATTTCATTATCTACATTATGTTCATCAGCAGCATCCCAAAGCCTGACTTTGTTAATCATCACCTTCATTTATGCTCTATGTCTGGTTTCCACTTTTTTGTTTTTGAGTATTTTGTTATGAAAATATTTTTGCTGGTTCCTGCACATTGGAAGAGTTCTGTATCCCAGTGCGAGACCTGCTGCTTGTTAACGAATTCAGGTGAAAAGAATTGAGTTTCAATTTCAATCTTTCTCGCTTACATTTGTTTTTGGTTTAAGAGCACAAATTTATTTTTGTAGTATCAATTAAAAGCACAACAGAAAAAAAAAACATTTGTTAGGCAGGGTGATATTGTCACTAAAGAGAAAAAGACCCCTTGCTTTTTTTTTTAAATGTCATTTCTGAGCTGTAACTGTAACTGTGGAAACTGTAAGTCCCAGTAAATAAAGTGCATTACTGCAAAGCTTTCAGCTTTTGTTAACGTGAATCCCTTGGTGTCTCAATAGGTCACATTGTGCTGTTATTTTCTGAACCTCTTGGCCAGTCCACTTATCCAGCATTTATTGGAGCATCCATTTGGAAATATTTAGGAGACCATAACAGAAGAAGCTATTCAACCTGAGAAATATGTATCTTTTCACAACAAATTGAGCTCCCAACTCTAGGGAATTAGTACCTATTAAAATAATATCAAAGTACTAGGTCAATAAGACTGTACTAGATACTTTATTATCTTGTACACTTACCATATTAGATATTTACTATCTTATGTTACATTCTTGAATCTTTTTTTAATTTCATTAGATTTTTCAAACATGCTTTCTGTGAAAGGTTTACAGGTTCTGCAGAGGCACTAACATTATTATATGTAAAATACGTCTGATCCTCACCATTCCTGTACGTTTAAAATTTATTCTTAAGAATTTGTGTTCTAAAAATGTGGAAGCCCTGTTTACAGTTTTGTTTAGTGTGCATTGGGCTTTCACCACAAGTGAGTACTTCTGTTCACTATACATATGGTGGACATATACATTGGCTGGATGTGGCTGGAAGGTTGCCGGTTCAAATCCCGCGGCCGGCAGAGGAATCCTACTCCGTAGGGCCCCTGTGCAAGGCCCTTAACCCCAACTGCTCCAGGGGTGTTGTATAAATGGCTGGCCCTACACTCTGACCCCAAGCTTCTCTCCCTGTCTGTGTGTCTCATGGAGAGCAAGCTGGGGTATGCGAAAAGACAAATTCCTAATACAATAAATTGTATATGCCCAATAAAGTGATCTTCTCTTGTCTTATGTAAGTATGGCAATGACTACACACTTTCACCACTTCAAATCTTCCTTGTACTTGTGCTTGTAATTGCACCTGTGCTCAGGCAGAAAGAAAAGAGGTAGTAATATTGATAAGGAAATGGCTCACATATTACATAAAGGGTTGTTGTATTTATTGCATTGTGATGATATTAACAATATTATTATACTGTATGTAGTGGTGTTACAGCTAGTGTTATACAATGTAAAATAGGTGAGTGACAATACAGTAGTTAAGACCTACTGTATACAGAAAGCCCTTGATCTGAGCACCAATGTAAGAAATATATACTGAAACAGACATAGCAGAAGAGATGTCACAGTATGGATAGATAACCTGTCTAGTCTGGAATAGTAGACACTGTTCTATGAATTATGAAAAATATGAACTGGGTTAAGTTATTGTGATCCTCGGTTTTGTCTGCTATAGAAGGTTTGAAATCAGAAAACATTATTGTTTTAACTTAACACAATTGCATTGCAAATGTTGTATTAACATTTTGTACAAATATGTGTCTTTCATACATCAAATCAACACAAAAATGATTTAAATGTAAAATGGAGTCCTTTCTACTTGTTTCTGAGTTTTTGTTTTCAGAAGCAAGTCGTTAACCATTAACTCTGCTGTTCCTCCTTTTTTGGTACTCTTATTTAGCAGTACCTACTCTTTTCCAACCAAATTTCCCTTCCTCTGTCCAAACTAAAGAGTCAGATGTTTCTACCTCTGTTGCTACAGGTAAAACAGTTGAGTGTATTTTGCTTCAATTTAACAAATAATGTAAGCATAAATCCATATATTAAGCACTAAGAATAACCTAACACATTAAAAAAAGCAATCTAATTGTATGTTATATCCCAATTAATTATCTTAGCATGTTTAATTACTTTTGGAATGGTATAATCTTTGATTTTCTTATTTTCATGTTATTTCATCAAATGTTGCCTTTTTGTTTTCAGTATTATTATTGTATCTCAGCTTTAATATTCTTACTCACAAAGTGTTGTTTCCTTTTTGATAGCTGTTAATGATTTGATATGTAGTTATTTTACTCAGTACTGCTACACCCTCCAGGATTCTGCATGCTTTTGTCTATCCAGCTCTGAATAGAGACAGACCAAGTCTTTGAAAAGCCACTATTAGTAAGAAATGCACAGTGATAATAAGTGAGCGAGTCCAATATCTTTGATTAGATCTGGAGAGCTGCCATTCCAAAATACCTTAGGTTCCTAAGTGTTGAACACCTACTGTATGACTAGTAATTTGTTTTATCAGGTTCTTTTTCACTGTGCCTCTTCATTAAGCAGCTCTTCTTTAACACAAAAAGGGTAGTTGGTTCTGCTAAACATTCTTTTTCGTTTATTCTGCATAGATTACTTTATCACTTGGTAACAAGGGGTATATCACTCATGTTTGAGTAATAGATAGGTTCATTTTTATTTCCTTTATTGTGTTTTTGTTGATGTTCAGTAATGGGTTGTCAATTAAGGAATGAGAGCTAGAGCTGGCTTGATAACAGTATAGAGAATTCTGGTACATACAGACAGGTAACAAGTGACCAAAACTGAAAATGATACAGTAGTTGTAGTAGCTCGACATAGGGAAATATGCATAAATTGTATAATTCAGTATTCAGAATGTCTAATAAATTTAATGCAAAAGGCTGATCTTTTTTAAGTATGTAAACTAGGTTTTGTAGTGTTCGGAAACAGTTTCTTTCCTGTTGACATTCTGATTCTTTTTTTTTTTACATAATTTCTTGTGAGTTTACCATACCCTGCAGCCCTTCTTTCAGCTGTTAAATATCTTTCTGATCTCTCTCAGGCCGTCACTCTTTACTTTTTCCAGCTCTTCCTGTTTGGATTTCACATTGTGCTGCTTTCGCCTGTTCCTTTTCTCTCCAGCTGATCTGGTGTTGCACAAGGAGAATGCCTCTCTTTCCAGTTCTTCCAGTGCTTCGCCCTGGAGTTTAGTAGATGAAGCATTCCTTGGACTCCAACCCATGTCGTGCCCCAAGAGCCCTTCCCCAGAGCATTCAGACTGCATATATCCTAGTGCTTCCTCAGCCTTGAAACCTGCTCCAGAAAGCATGGACATACTTTCATCTATTTCTTGGTCTCAGAGTCAGTGGATCTCTTTTAACGATGAACTTGTCCCATGCAGACGCTTAAATGTCAATCCAAAGGACTCCCAGAGACCGCAGGCTCAAGCTACCAGCAGCTCACCAGCCCCACCTGCCTTTGCCTCTTCTGTTAAGTTCTTTTCAGATGACCCACTTGACCCTTTTAACAATGTCACATATAGTGCAAAGCTGTTCATTGAAGAAAACATCAGTCTCTCTAAAATTTCTCCAGCGCCAGTGGATGATAGCTTTACACCTGTTCTTAATCCTTTGCAAAACGGTAACTGAAAGCATGCATTGTATGGTTTGATTTATATTTAGAGGAATTTGCTTTTGTTATACTTTTTTTTTCTTTGTGCAAGCATAGAGTCTTAACATTTTATTTTGTTGTTGTGTGTGTGTTTGTGGATGTGCCTGGTACTTCTTACCCTAATTGTATTTTTGCCTTATTTACAAACTGCTGTGAGGGAACGTACTTTGCACTGTGTGGATTTTTATTTGGATGGTTTTGGCTGCTGAGCCTCGTGTTTTGTGCTTGGATTGTTTTGATTTTTCTGAGGATTCTTCGGAAATGCAACAGGGTGATTTTTTTTAAACCCTTACCATAAAGAATGCATTGTTATGATTGTCTCGATTAGTGATAAAGTGATAGTGATTAGTGATAGTGATTACTTTTCTAGCGGATGAGTGTTGTAATAGAATATTTCCATCTTTCAGTGTATCCATGATCTCAGTCATTTTTATAAAGTGTCACTTTTAAAATGCTTTATGTATTCCTGTGTCCCTGGATCGGGAGAGCCACAATACAGCAGGTCTCACTGTAGGTCAGTGTCTCTATTCCCTGGTCCAGGAGGACCGCAGTGTCCTCTGGTGTTTGCTCCAGCCACGTTTGTAATCTCAAACAAATTGATTTCAGTTTTCTGTTTGTTCAGCTCATAATAACTGTGTGGGGTCTGTAAGTACGACAGATAAACCCAGAGTTTCATAAATCCCCTTATTCAGATGTATTAGCTTAAACATAACCAATTGGATTGAAGTAGAAGGATAAAAATCGCTGTGGGAGTGTTTGATACATTGGCATTCACACTTTATCTGCTTATCATAAATGTGTTGTCTATTAAGGGCCTTTTCAGTCAGATGTAAAGGAGCAATTGTGTAATTTGCAAATTCATTGTTTGAAATAATACAGTTTTGATAGGGATTTTTTAAAACCCAGTAGATCAATTAGCAGCAGTAATTAAGGACCCAGCTGGAATGAAACTCAGCAGAGATTTCAGTATCTCAGGAGGTGAGAAGCACTCTTACACTGTAGATCACCCTTAAGTCTTCAATTTGCAGTGGCTTGGAACTGGTGAATTTGGCAGAATCACTTTAGCACGTTAAGTTAGGAATAACCAGCTGTGGAGTTTGACACCTACAGGGGATTTTCAGTTAGGGTGAAATGTTGAATTTTTAATGTAGAAATTACGTTTGTAATTAGAAGATTGAATACACCCCCCTTGTGTTGTGATTGTGGTGACTTAAAATGCATGTGCAGTGCCTTTCAAAAGTATTCAGCTCCTGCAAAGTTCTAGGTTTACGTTTTGTTTCCATCTGTGCAATCATCACGCATTTAAATCCACATTTTTTATATAGGAAGTACTCCGTCTGCTCCATAATGCAGATAATGTGTAAATACAAGCATTTTGCAAAGAAAAATAGAAGATTCAGTTTTAAATTAATATTCAACCTCTGCCACAATGACCTTAAATTAATTTAGGTGCAAAAGTTGAAATGTCACAAAACTAGTGTAGTTGTATTGAAGTGGTTTCAGAGTAAAAGCCTCAGACTCTGTAATTTCCCTCAGATATTGAATTTCAAGACACAACTCCTGTAGTGATACAACAAATCTTCCATTAAGAGCAAGTGGTACAGAAGCACAAATCAAACAAAGGTCACAATAAACATTTCAACATTTATCCCTTTAAAGGATGTTGAATTTCGATAAGAATTGGTGTCGTCCTACCCAGATCAGGCTACTTTTCCAGATAGAGCTCCAAAGCAAGCAGAAACCTGGTAAGAGATGTCACTGTTAAACTTTGCCGACTTTGAAAGAAGTTCTGTGTCTGACATGGAGGTCAGTGTTAACTACAAAGCAGTCCTGTGTGGCTGAGTGGGAAGAAAATAGCGTTTACAGGAAAATGTTCATTTTAAATCTCATCTGGAGTTTGTGACAAAGCAAGTAAATAATAATACTGTAGACATGTGGAACAAGGTTTTTTGGTCAGACAGTTTTTGTTTAAGTACAAAGCATTACATCAGGGGCAAATCCAACACCGCACATCACACAGTCAGTAACATGCCAGCTGTTGAGCATGGCGGTGCCTGCATTGTGTTATGAGACTGCTTCTCAGCAGCGGGGACCGGGAGGCTTGTCAAGAATGGGTAAATGGATGGAGCAAAGTATGGGCAAATCCAAGCGAAAAACCTGTGTGAGTCAGTTCAACAGCAAAAATGCACAAAGCCACAATTCAGGGGTTTGACAAGAAGAAAGTGAATGTCCTTGAGTGGCCCAGTCAAAGTCCTGTCTTGAATCCAATAGAAAATTTATGGCAAGATTTGAGGATTGCACTCCATCAGCAATGCCCAATTAACATGTCAGAACTGCAATTTCGCAAGGAAGGGTAGGCAAAACACTATCCCCCTGCAGCTCTGGTGGAGATCGATCCAAAAACATTCACGGCAATAATTGCTGCCTAATGTCCTTCCATCAAATGCTGACATAGGGTTTTGAATACGTATGAAATCAGTACATTTCAATTTGGATATATTTTCTGTGCACTTTTTGCCGACATTCTGCTTCTTTCACAAAAAAGATTTTCACACATAACTTATGTTTGGTTGATTATTTCACTTTTGAAATTTTATTGTAAAAATGATTATTTGAATAAACAGTCAAATTTAAATTTGAATGCCTAATTTGTTTATAAATACGTTGCGTGTGCTTTAGATAATCTGAGTGAAACATTAGGGTAGGTAGTGAATCCTTCTGGAAGGCACTGTAGTTGCGGCTGAACAGACTTCTTGGGTGACTGTGAGTGATCTTGAGCAACCAGCATTTGCGAAGTTTTGGAGTTAGCATTGTGAGGTTTTGGACTGAAATGCATGCTATTCAGATTGTTCCACGTCACCTGTGAGTTTCGCAGGGCCCTGTACAGCTTCTGTTATCAGGTTCTACAGCAGTAATTGCAGTAAAAGATCAGCATTCAGCCACCTCATTTCGATCCCGTTTCCCCGACAGTACCTGTGCCACCCAGACCGACCACTCCTCTTGCCACTGGAACCATAGTGCCTCCTCCTCGGCCCAGTTCAAGACCAAAGCTCTCTGCTGCAAAACTTGCCGGAATTAATGAAATTGTAAGTAAGGCACTAAGTGTTAAGATAAGATAGACCAGACAATAAGACTGCATTTGTTTATTTGCTATTCTCGAATACGTTCTCTGTTTTTCTTGAAGAATTTTTCCCTGGTTAGAAAATTAATCTAATATGTATTTGTACATCTGCCTGTGTCTGTTTATCTGTATGGTTAGTGAGGAAGTGGTTTTCTCCTTAAAAAACTCAAAGCAGATGGTATTGTGTTTTCTTTCCAGGCAAGACCATTCAGTCCACCAAAAATCTCAAATGCCAGTCCACCTCCCGCTGCCCCCTTGGCTCGTGCAGAGAGCTCCTCCTCACTGTCTTCCACTGCTTCTATGAGTGCTGCTAATACCCCCACTGTCGGTAAGTGTCAGGACTCGGCAACACCCTATAGGCCCTGAACAGTCTGTGGCCATGTTGTGATATACATCACATGCTTGTGCTACAATTGCTTTTTGTTTGCCTTGTATTTTGCTTGCGAAGTAGGGTTTTATATTCAATGCTTGAGCATTTCTGCTTATCATGTCTTTACCACTTGTCTCAGTTAATGTTTTTCTACAGGGAAGTGTTACTGTATCTTAGCCTGATGTTAGCCGGAAATCAGGCACTATCACGGAAATTCGCTCATAACCCTTGAACGTTGTCATTTATGTAACTACTGAAAAGTACAAAATATAGTATGCCCTTAGTTCAGGGGTCTCAGGTCTTCTTGGTCCTGGAAAGCCCCAGTCCAATTAGTTTTGTAGATCACCTGTTTCTTAAAATTGGCACCGCTATTGATGTATCGATCAAGTAATCAGTTCAGAGAACTGTGGTCCCTGAGAGCTGAAGAGGAGATTTTAGTCCTAAAATGACCACTAAATTAATTTAACAAATCACATAACACGAGGCTTAATTTATCACACTTGATTCATTTTATGTCTTCTGAAACTAGTGATTTAATGGTAACCTGTCAGTCCTCCTGGACTGGAGCTCTACTTAACCAGGCTTGGAGATCCCTTCCTTCAGGAACTGTTTGTGAAATTTGCCTCTTTTATTTAGTTGGAAAATAAAGTGATATACAGTACCTGTATCTACATTCAGAAGATCAGGTACTACATTTGTTAAGTGTTCTTCATTTCAAGTAAAGAGCTGTGTGTTTTTTAATTGTACACATTTCATTTGCTGTTTTGAAGACAAACAGTATCTCTATCATTTGTGCAGTGTATTCTTGAATATGAATCTAGCTTAATCTTTGTTGATTTTACATGACTTACATCTTTAGGTAAAGTACATTTTGATTTCAAAATTGCAGGCCTAAATAAGGGCATACATTCCCTGAAGAGAAACATGCCACATGAGTGTTGGCCAGTTTTGCTACAGGATATTTCTGTTTGCATTGTATTTTGCTTTTGTTTTGTTTTTGTTTTAATGATAAAGAGGATGATGTGTTCATTGGGAAACTGCCTACTTTTGAAAAGCGCTGTGAAACACCAGCAGGTACAGTAATGGAAATTATTTTTGAGTACTAACAATCTGCTGATGCTTGCGATGTGCTCTAACTTCTAACATCTGTGTAAAACATTGGAACATCTTATAAAGTCACTGATGCCGATGTTGAACTCACTGGTACTATTTGGGGAAAAAAAGATTATTCTTTTGCCTGGTTTGTGATTCAGGTAAATTGTAATTTGATACAATAGTGTTTAATCTTAATAAATGATCAGAGAACAATGTTTTTTTCTTTTGGACACAGTACCTTGTTAGACTTCTGTGACATGCCAGAAGATAATTTTCTAATTAGATTTTTTGCCTTTTGTATACTATTATTCATTTTTTTTTGTATTAAGTTGTATTATGTGCATCAAAGAGGAGTTTGGCCCTGGACTCCCTCCTCTAAAAGGTTGTGAGTTCTTATCACAGGTGGCGAAACAGCTGGTTTTCCCTTGAGCAAACCACTTTAGCCAGATTGCTCCAGCAATCCCAGCTGTTTAAATTGATGGCAAAATTATTTTTCCCATTCCTATTAATTGTAATATCTGTAAGTCACTTTTCATGAAAGAATCGTAGGTCAGCCTTGTATTCTGTGGGATGTCATTGTGTTTAGACATAATTTCAAGATTTCGTAAAGCTCCAATGCAGGGGATATATGAAAAGATGGGAATGGTGACATAGCTTGTGTACAGGGCTGATGCCCTCTCTCTATGGTGTTCCTTCAGAGAGATCCAGAAACACCTGAATAGTACCCTTGTACAGCAGAGCATTTATTAGAGCAATTTGAGTGAATTATTTGTTGAAAGGTACAACAGCAGCATTCTGTCCAGAATTTGAACCTACATCCCTTCAGACGTAAGTCCAGAGTCCCAACCATTACTCCAAATTTCATCACAAGGCATTCTAAGGAGAGACAGTGTCAAAGCAGAGCCCTCACAAAAGTGAGCTTTGAATAAGATTAATGGCTGTCTTGACTGCTGTCATGAGATGCATTTTCAGAATACAGTATGCAATATTCTTGATATGTTGTGCTTGTTAAACGTTTTTGCATTTCTGAATTTTTCTCAATGATTGTGCTGCATTTGCAAAATGTCTTTCTTTAACCTTTTTAACTGTTTCTTCCCAATATTTTTGCAGTATTGAATATGTGTATATATCACTGCATGACCTTATTTACCCTTTTATTTTCTCTCTGTTAATGGCTTATTTTTTTACAAGTGACTATAATCACACAATTTGTGATTCAAAAGGCTTTTCATTATACACTGTGTAGTTTGGTATATATTTGAATGTCACATTTTGGGTCGTTTTTAAGGTATGGTATTGGCTATGATAATAATTTCCATTCCCATTTGTGTTAAAAAAGAACAGAATGACTACATACTGTATACTATTTACGATTTTTTACAACATAAATTCTACTTTCAAACACTTGGCAACAACCTCCTGTCATTAAACAGCCCGGGACAGTTTAATCTTAGTCCTTCTCCTGGTGTGTATGAAACATGGCAATCAAAACCGCAATCATCTGAAGTTTCCGAAATTGTATTTGTTATTTAAGAAAAATGCCAGAATTAGAGGGTTTGTGTATGTCTTTGAAAAAGATAAAACGGTTGTGATAATAAATGGCTGTGAGATCAAGTCCAGAGTCCAGAGCATGCTATTCAAAGTAATTAGAGGTAGCAGTGCTGGAGAGTGATCACATATGGTTTACAACAGACTAACTTAGTATCCTTTGCAAAAAGGTCAAGAATGTTTTTTTAACCAATTAACGTGAATGCATTGTACTTTGTCTCCCCATCAGGAACATCTCGTGGTCCCAGCCCAGTCAGCCTTGGGTCTCAGGATTCGTTGCCCATTGCCGTGGCGTTCACAGAGTCGGTGAATGCCTACTTCAAAGGGGCCGATCCCTCAAAGTAAGTTTCACATGGCTGGTTCTCTTAATGGAGAATAAAGAGAGCAGTTTAAGATTGCTGGATTTCAGGGCCAAAGAATTAATTAATCAAAGAATGTTTAAGGGCCGAAGAATGTCTGGCTGGGATGTAGCTCTAACCAGTAGTGTGGTGGTCAATGAAAAAAGGGAGTGAACTCCCTGGGTTGGGCTGGAGGCCAAACGTTGGCATTTTGGGAACGTGGGCAGGTCTGTGTTGCTGGTTTTAATTGGATTTTCAGGACATCAGCGGCAAACATAAAAGCCATTCAAACAGATTTGTGGCACTACCAAAACTTGTTTTAGGAATTGAAAAATGTAGAAGAATCCGCACATCAAAATGTACACAATATATTATTTTTTATAAAGCTTTAAAAATAGTTGTAGCCCTTTCAATATAGAAATAAATTAATGTGCTCAGTACAAATAGTGTAATGTGTCTAGTTTTTTTCTTTGAAGAATAAGCAGAGACACAAGAGAGGCCTGTGAAATTGTGACTGGGGACACCCTGGGCTTATTTACAGTACATGTTCAGAGAGCTTGTGAAGAAAAGACCAGACCTTTTTAAACTAACAGCAACTAGGGTTTTATTAAGGGATTTAACTGAAATGTAACTAAAAATCCTTTGATAGAAGCAGTTATAAAATGAGACTTTTATAAAAGGTGCTGTTAAACAAATAGCCTGTTTATTTGTAACTTTCCCAATAGATTGCTATTGGATTTTTGCCTAATATTTTTTTTTCTCTGACCAGCAATTGTTTTTTGTAATCTGATGTCATTCAACCCAGCGTGAAGTAAAAAGCTTAATGTGTTTTTAATGTAATGTGATTCTGCAGTAACTGATTTCTGGAAATTTACAGTACTGTGTCATTGTTGAAATACGTTGGGGTTTTGTTTTTTTATTTACAGGTGCATTGTAAAAATTACTGGAGATATAACAATATCCTTCCCCAGTGGCATTATCAAGATTTTTACCAGCAACCCATCTCCAGCTGTCCTGAGCTTTCGATTAAAGAATACTATCAAACTTGAACAGATTCTTCCTAACCAACAGCTTTTATACAGGTAAAGTCATATAAAAATGAAAGAATATAAGAATTGTTACAGAGCTTTGGTTTTCAATTAAAAACAACATTTTTCATAATGCAATGATAACTAGATGTACACAGACATGTTAACTTAAAGCATTACAGTAAAGCTTATTAATTTTGCTTATTAACATAGAGTACCTGTTAAGAAGATATGACTTGTAAACTTGTTTCAAACCCACAATTGGGCATTTAAAATGTCTGAAACATTTCTATCATAGAATATAATATAGTATATTCTAAAAAAAATAGAAATAGGCATGAAGAACAAATTCTTTCAGAGTATCTTCTGTCTTGTATTCACTGTAGTGCTATGTTGTGACTATACCTTCTCCTGCAAATTACATTTAAACTAAAATGATCACCAGTGGGTTATAAAAATCTACTGTATGCTCGATGTCATACGCCATGAATGAATTTCAATGGTGGCATTTTGTCCACACCAGCTGGGCTTTAGAGTTTTTTCCTCCTCACTAATGAGCCTTGGCACACCTAACAAAGTTATGTGTGCTGCATATATTCTGAACACCAAGTCCAAATGATGGACATCATGGACAATTGTAGTCTTTAAAACTAAGATTGGGGTTTCATGTTTTTTTTTATCTAATCTCAAGTGACAGTGTTCATCCCAGCAGCTCAAACTCAGATGAGCTCCACTGCTTGTCTCAAAAGAAAACCACTTTTAGATGTTTCTGTTCATCTTTGATTTTGTCAGATTTGTGCTACATTGAGCGTGATCTGTAATAAGCATGCTAAGCTTTTCTGTAACAAATTAGTCACACTGGTGCAGAGGACCACTTAATTCTTAATATCGCAGTGATGTTAACTGTTTCTTACCTTAATTTTAAACTTTTTGCAAGGGCTTGGTCTGTTTCTTTAGTGTACACTGTTATTAAACGTTTTAGAATATTGCTTACATTTTCAAGCATTTAAGAAAACATTGAAATGTTTGGAGAAGGGATGTCTCGAATTATTTAGAGTTTGATACAGTGTGTTTAAAGTTAGAAAGGTAAAGTGCATAGAATTTAGCCTTCGAAAAACATATTTCTTTTTTACGGAAGATCTGTCTGCCTGCTGTAGGCCATTCTCCAGTCTGCTCAAAAATAGTGTACGTGATTATCATTCATGATTTAATATGCAAGTGTTAATACAGGGTCCATCTTGCAATGTTATTACTGCTATACAGAGCTGGAAAAACAGCCGATAACATGATACCACGTTAATTTTTGCATGTGTTTCTGTTGAATGTAGTGATCCCTCACAAAGTGATTCCAGCACCAAGGACTTCTGGATGAACATGCAAGCTCTCACAGGCTACCTCAGGAAAGCAGCTGAGCAAAACCCGTCTGCCTCTTACTATAATGTGGACATCTTGAAATACCAGGTAAACAGAAGCAGTAATCTCTTCGCATTTACATTACTTGAATGGACAGTTCCTCTGAATGCGTGGGCTCAGAAAACCACATCGTATCGTCTGCAAACAAGCCCAGCAATTCCTGCCCGAGGTTTGCTGTATACTTTAGTAAAGCTTTCTTAAATAGTTTGCTGAAGATATTGTTGAATATTATTGAACTAACAATATTCTAACTGTAAATATTAAAATAAAAATATAAAATGAAGCACTTACATTTCTTTAATTATGCATGGGTAAGCCCTCAAAAATGTTAGTTGGAAGTACAATTTATTTCAATGAAATTTCCATTCAAGCTAAATTAATTAGAATGACTTTATTATGGGCAGATATTTTAGTCATTTTCAATCATTCCATCAATATCTAACCATTATGCATTACTGAAGTTTATAGCAAAACTTCAGGAGCAAGATGGCTTTGAATTCCCAGCAGTCCCATCTATAAATACGGTCCTGTAAATGAATATGTTCCAGCATTTCTTGCCCGGTTTTCTTCATCATCACCAATTCAGCTAAGCCTTGTTAGGCAGAGGGGTTGTTACAATCTCATTGTCAAGGATAGGCAGGTACTCAAACTCAAGCAGGTACAGCCCAAAGATCACAAACCAAAAGATCTGACTCGGGTTGCTCTCCTTTGCAGCCCCAGATAATTTACATGAGTATGCATTATAAAGTGTTGTAGCTAATGCATCACATTTCCATTTAGCAATCCTCATTGGCTCTTTGTCAGGGGTTCCTTCCCATTATCATTGTTAATTCTGCTTTACACATCCATAAAGCTAAAAACGCACCTTTTTTAAATTAAATTTGCAGTAGGATTTTGAGATCTGAATAAAGAATGAAAATCATTGAAGGAAATGGGTAGCACAGTGCAGAATAACACTTTTTTGAAGGCATGTATGTATCTAATGTCTTTTATTATGTTTTATAGGTTTCTTCAAATGGAATCAAGTCTACTCCGCTGAATTTGGCAGTGTACTGGAAGTGCTCTCCTGGCACAACAGATGTCAGAGTGGATTACAGATACAACCCAGAGTCGATGCTGAGTCCTGGCGTTTTGTCCAATGTGCAAGTCTTGGTGCCAGTTGATGGTGGAGTTACTAATATGCAGTCTATTCCAACAGCAATTTGGTAGGCTACATTCCTTTTCAGGCTGACATAAAGTTATTTACACCATTTCTGTCTGCATTCTCTGAGTATAGTACCTAACAAAAGCAGTTTCATGTTTGAGTCTTCTCTGAGGTGAATTATTTGTAATGTTGTATTACGACATGGCATTTGTGGGCAGCAGGATGACATGGAAGTTAGCACTGCTGCTTCCCAGGCTTAGGTCCTGGGTTCAGCTCGCGTGGGATTTTGCAAGATATTCTGGTTTCCTCCCACCTTCCAGAAATTCGCTGGCAAGAATAAATGCTGGCAAGTCTCAAACTCGTCCCTGTGTGCTCATGAGTTTGTTTGTCCTGGAATAGATCGGCTTCCCGTCCATGATATAGTCCTGCTTTGTGCACAGAGCGTCTGGGAGAGGCTCTGGGTTACAGTGAAACTCTCCAGGAAGAAGCATCTTTCTGTTAATGGATGGACAGATTTGGCATTTTTTTTATTTTAAAGTAGTCCTCTTAAAAGTATTTGCAAATGTATGATTTTTTCAAGTTGACAAGATGTAGAAAATGACACATTCTGCAGCCAGGAGAGCCAGGGAGGCAGAGTTAGTGAGATGATGAGACAGTGGTCATGCTGTTGCAATCTAAGGACTGGAGTAGTGTAATTTAGCATAATTGAATGAAACAGACACTGAAACAATAATATAAGTCATAGTAATCTGATACATATCAGCACAACTTTGATCAATAGAAAAAAAGGGAACTTGTGAAATAGGCACTTGGGCATAGAAATGTTGGTTTTTTTCCCAGCACAAAAAAGGAGAACATTTTTTGTTTAGGTTTTAAATACACTGCACAGGATCTTCCTATTATTTAGTGCACTGGATATCTTTATGTCATCAGGGTGACCTGCTATATTTCTTTCATTTATTTTGTCATTTTAATACATTACTGGGAATGGAAAGTAACAATTTTGACTTCAGAAACTTTAAGAGGTAGGGAAGATGACTAGAGAAGGAGGGATTAGGATTATGAAGTTCATTTAACATACACATAATACTTTAATATGTGCTAGTCTTTCTCATCTGGCAAAATACATTTCTAGCAAATAACTAAAATGCTTCTTCCTACTTTTTTACTCTTTGATAACGCTTAATTCGGACACCTGTATCCCATTTTATTTTCAAAAGCTTAACATTAACACTTGGTATCTGTTACAGTATATTAAAAAAAAATGTTCATATTTCATAACAGGAGTGCAGAGCAGAACAAAGCCTTATGGAAGATACAAGAAATCTCAGAGAAATCTGAGAATGAAGGTATGTTATAAAAGCAGCATGAAAACAGTTTTGGAAAATATTAAACAAATGCAAAGACAGAGGAGCCTGGTGCACTTAAGTGGCTTGTCTTACTTAATCTGCCTTATCTTTTATTAAATGTTCTGCTGGTCAGATGTAGAGTTAATTAAATCCTTAACTAGAAGTTGATCTTCTTATTATTCCTAACCATATGGTTTCTATCATTTGTGAAAACGTGTTATTCAGGTTTTCCTAGTGTGAACAGTAGTAATACTTTTGTGATCAGACTTGTATTTTTTAGATGTTAGGCATTCTGCAATGATAATAATTGGGCTATTTGTTAAAGTATCACATTTCTCTCCAATTTTTGCCAACTTGTTTGCAGTATTTGATACCTTTTTTTGGTTTGATGTAATTAAAACAGTCTAGTACAGTATGTGACATAACATATTAAACGTCTAAAAGCAGAATTAAAGAGAAGTCAGCAACAGGGTTTTAGAATACTCTAGTGCCTGTGAAAGTAATTAATAAAAACACTACAGCAACTGTCTTTTACTTTTTATAGGTTCAGGGAGCCTCAGGGCAAAATTTGATCTTTCAGAAGGACCTACTAACCCTGCCACACTTGCAGTGCAATTTTTAAGTGAAGGAAATACTCTTTCTGGAGTAGATCTGGAGCTTGTTGGGAGTGGCTATAGGCTTTCCCTAACTAAAAAGAGATTTGCTACAGGTAAGATGTTTTCAGTTTTCTGTTCATGTGTCTTCTGAGAATTATAGTTCATAGTTCTGTTGCTTAATTCGCTTAATAAAGTGAAATTTTCTTAAATTACAGTTAGAATTTAAATTCACAAATGTTCATCACTGGTTTAATTAAGTCAAAAGTAAGGTTTGTTGTATTACTGCACATTAAAATTTGCCCTCTGCTTCATCATTTGTAATTGTAGTTTTAAAATGATTCGAGCATGCCATCTCACTGCAGAATGACAGTGTTGATTGATAGAAATTGGCAAACGTCTCAAACCAATAATTGCTTCCTGTCTGCCAAACATTTCTTTGTACAGTATCGGTGCTGAGGCTACAGTAGGCTAAATATGATCCAGCTTATTAATGTTCCCACATTCTCAAAATAAACGTTTTTAAGTAATCACTGCAGTCACTCTTTAAAAAGTTATGGGGACCTCAGTCAAGATTTCGATGATGTTGTCCAAACAATTCTTCAGCAATCCATTATTATCTGTCAGCCATTTCCAGGAATGTTGTGACCCTTAGCTGCGAAATGAGCCTACTCATTTTTGCCTTAACCATAACAGTATGACCCTTTTTTAAACTGATTAACAGAACAAATTAATATCTAGAAAATATGCATTGAAAGATATTTTATTAAGATACCTTGTGTCATGTCTATGAGGAAATAATTTCCAAAATATGTCTTTTGTTTAGTGGCATTTGAAGAGCAAATCTCTGAGTTCTCTGCTTCTTTTTCTTTATTTTTCAGGACGATATATGGCAGACTGCTGATGCTGCAGGAATGCTTTGTTCCGAGAAGCACAACTGAAACTTTCCGTGCTATTTTTGTTGTTTTATCTTGTTTTGAGAAGGCGGCGGCTTCCAGTAAGAAATCTGAAGGGTTTGGCAATAACTTTTTTTTTTACATTTTTGAAAATAACTTTACATTAATTAAAATGCACCTTTTTGGAAGAAACAATATTTTTACTACATCAAATTAGCACTGATATGATTTTGAACACTTGAAAAAAAAAAGAAAACTTGGGCTGTCAGGACGTTTCGAAATTCAAACCAATTAAGTACACTTTTGATTTATTCAGGCTTTTATAAAGTCAAAACAATAGTATTTGTTTCATATGTATAGTTAACAGTATGTGTAGTAGTGATACTGTATATTGGATGGCTATAAATTTAAAAACCCTGCACTAACTTTGCTGCCGAACGTTAAAGGGTTTTTTTCTATGTATACCCTGCTTTGCCTCCAATATATATTGACTTTAACCATATAACTAAACTAAAACAATAGAATGAATAATTACAGTTAGAAAATAATGGTAACCTGGCCTTGATCTTCAATGTTTCAGCTGCATTATATTGACTTATGTAGAAAGGCTCAATTCCAAATCTGTGGATTTAAAAAAAGTCAAGGTAAGAGCATGGTGTTATTACTGATAAAATGTGCAATGGTTCAATATAAGCTCTCAGAATGGATTTACATTTTTGGAATATGTACATTAATGGTGACTATATTAGAGACTGTTAGAAAATATCCGGTCATTTGTTTTTACTAAACAACATGACTACATCGGTGCCTCTTTTTTTAATGTTTCTATTCTGTGAATCTTAATGTGCCTAATTTTCCTAGTTTTCGAATACTAATATGACATTTTTACTTCTAATGCAGTATAAGAGCACAACATGACTTTTGTGCATACCAATTATTTTATACTCTAATTTTTATTTGGATGCTGAAGGGAAATGCAGGCTACTTGCTTGGAGTTTGAAATTTCAGCATGTTGAAGTCATAGATTTGTCCTTACAACAGCTAATGTGGTCAGTGGTCTTTTGAATTATAAATATGTTTTGCAACTATTTAGGCAGGTTTGGTTGTTTTTCACTTTCTGCCAATGATTTTCATTAATCAAACAAGGCTGAGCCAAATATCACTGGCCCTACTTATAATTTTGTTCCATCAAATTGAAGGTACTATCTTAGATCATATAAGATGTATCTCCATTAAAGCATTACAAATACTTATTGTGGGAAAGTATATATTATGAACATCAAATTAATTCATTTTTGTATTTAAATAGAAAACTATTTGCTAAAAGTAACCCACAGGCAAATTCCAGCTTTACTCTGTTGTAATATTTTTGTTACAAAAAGGGTAATGCTTACTTTGAAATTTTTCAATTTTACATTCAATTATTAATCTAATTGATGTTTAATTGTGTTTATTTGTACACAGTTTATTAAATGATGTAGCACAATCCCAAAAAATAAATGTTTTGCATTTAAGACGAGATGAATTGAATGAAACCAAGCAAGAAGCATTGACTGTATAGATTTTTGTGTGCACCACTGCTTGTTTGTCTGATGTTGTCCAGATGTAAAATGATTAATATGAAATACCTCTAGAACGTAATTGTATTGCAAGTTGTAAATTATTTCATTGGGGAAAATCAAAACATTTTTAGCACTGTTAACACACACAAAATGAGCTCTGAAAGTAATGAGATGATATGTGTCGATGCACAAAATGAAAGAATGGTCAACAGCTGTATCCCCCACCTTACATTTTGTATTTTTTAATTGTGAGGTTAGAATGAAAGGCAATATTTTGTTTCAAACTGTGTATGGTTTCAAGCCACTACAGGAAGATGTTATCGATGTTGTTGTTGTAGTTACAGTAGTGGTGAACCGCAAGCACGAGATGTAGGAAAAGCATTATAGCGTGTAATAAATTTGAATGCTTGTGTCCTTCTTAATGAAATAACAGATGGAAGGATCTCACCCCCATATGATGAATACCTTTTCTGATCCTAAGAATAATTTTTGTCACTTTTCATTAACCAATCCAAAGGCAGTCTGTCTTTAAGGACTGTTTTTCTTTTCAGTCAGCGGTAGCAGATTAAGAAATAGACCAGTTGTCTCCAGGTATTTATTTATATACTGTTTAATTTAATGTGATTAGAACATTTCTATGCCATCTACAGTGCTTCCAAACATAGATTGTCAACAGTGGTCTTTTTCAGGAAGTCAACCTGTATAGACAACAAATAGCTGTTGTGTTTTCTGTGTTTGAAGGCACTCTGTGGTTACTTCTTCTACCCAGAGACAACCAGAAGTAAAAAAAGGACATCTTAAAACAAATTGTGAAACGCTGAAGGCCCCCTAGTTACGGGCTTTGCATTTTTAGATAATTGAACCAACTTTATCATTTGAAAGCCGTTGTTACTGACCTATGAAGTCTGGAGCAGAGGATGATCTGTGATGGCTTTCTCTAATAATTGAAGAAGGATTTGTGCATGATGATCTCCATTTTGGATGATAAAGGTATTTATTTTGATTGAATAAATATATTTTTTTTCAGTAATTCCTAACAGGCATGGAACCTAGTTGAAATGGCCTTTGAAATACTTAAGGGGACACACAAGAGGTGTTTCAAAAGACACTTTTCCACTGGCTGCTGTGTAAGATTGTTTTACATCTTTATTATTTTATAAGATTTAAATGGTAGTGTGAGTGAACACATGTCTTCAAAGGGAAAGCTTTTTTCTTCAACTGCCTGGTATGCGGTCAATGTAAAATTGAGTCACAAAAAGCACACTCAGCTTTTGTTTTGGGTTTTAGCTGGAGTTAATCTGTAGTTATTGGAAGAAAAACCTAATGACCTGTTTGTTGTAAATATGAGGTTTGGGATTAAAGTCCATTTAAAGCCACTTTAAACAATAGGGAGCGAACTAAATGATTGTGCAGCTGTAGCATCATTGACGAGGGATGACTTGGTATCTGAAAATGCAAAGTCCACTGGGAAGGCCGCAGCTCTACTATGCACAGCGTTGAAGTATAAGTCTACAGGAACTTTATATACTCTGTATATTTAGCGAGCTGGTTCTTGCTTCCTTATACCAAGATATCCTTTCTAGCTGCCACTAAGACGTCAGTTAAATTTTCCTTGGGAATTGGAGCTTTTATGAAAAAAACCTTTGGTTGTATATGGAAAAAACTAATCAAATGGTTTTCTAGTAGATAAAAATCTGTATATTTAAACAATTTTTCATGAAATGTAAATTTTACAAAATCTTTGCCACTTGTCTTCACTTTATAATTCAATGTGCCTGTAATAAATGTGTAATATATATACATATATATAAATACTTCTCAACTCTGTGTCCTGTGCTCATTTTCTTGTTTTTTTAATGTGCCATGTAAGCAGCTTTGCAAGGTGCTAGGGCACCTAGGGCATCCAATAGCATATCCTGATGACTTTCAAGGGGCATGAATTGTGCAGCAGAAGATCTTATATTTCCACATTTTCAGTACATTTACTGCTAAAGGTGCTATAGAGCAGACATAACTGGCAGTTATAACTAGGAAACTGGATGTAAATCAAATGGTTTGTTCTGATTTATATGGCCATTAACCTTCTCATATGAAAATGCAACAGTGTCTTTCTATCTGGCGTTGTAGTTTAATATTATGTCATAGGTTAATCCCTCTTTGTAGCCAAAACAGCCTTACAATGCAACCTGTCATGGAACTATAGCAGTACATCTGAATTTAAGTATGTCCTTTAAGTGCAAATGTTGTCCAGAACTTGATTTACAAATAATAATTATCCATCCATTTTGACAAACTGATTTATCTTGACACAGCTGGTACGGAGCACAAGAAGGGACAACACCTTACATGGGACATCACTCCTTTACAGGGATCACACACATATACCATATAAGGGAGACTACCAGTTGCCCTGAACACCCTGAACACTCCTGGGAGTGTGGGAAGAAAATAAACTATAAACCTGTGTCCTTCTACCCTTCTATCCCTCTTAACCACTTCATGGATAAAGCACTTCATTGCCGACAACACCACTGTGTGCTTTTCTGTTCGTGCATTGATAAATAACCCTTGATTGATTGAACTAAGGGAAACCCATATGGTTACATGGACATGGGTCAAATATGAAGACTCCCCACTGAGGGAGACCCACTCCATAATCAAATTCCGGACCCCAGAGCTTTGAGGCAAAAGCACTAACGTCTGAAGATACTCTTAATTTTCAGTGTCCTGACAAGCTTACTAAAGCATTTTAAATGGGCTAAGGTCACCGAACTGTCAGAACCCGCCCAACCATTTCAGAACCCTGTTGTGTGTTTTTGTTTTTTAATTAAGGCTGTCTCCACATACATTTAGGGTCTTCATCATGTTTAAAAATAAACCTTCACTGACAAATTGCCTTCTTGAGGACGTTTGAAAAAGCACCCGTTCTTGTTCCATTATTCAGAATTATCTTTTACTTTTTTACCAGCAAAACAGCCTCAGATCTTCCCTCTATCTCTGCTTGCTCCTTTACAGCTTGCATGCTAAAACAGCTCCCCATTCAAACCTCATAAGTAAATGTCAGTTAATAAGAAGAGATTACATAGACAAGAAAACTATGACAATAATTGCCTTTGCTGGTAAATAGCCATGTTTCTATTTTAATGTTTGTGTGGAGTAGAGTAAGGTCTTGATATCCGCGAATTTAACATTCCCAAATTACTAAATTTTCAATTTTCTGTAAAAACTACATTTCAGCACTTATAAATCCTTTACTTATTAATGGTGCTTCAATAATGATTACTTTATTAGGGAAGTATGTGAAAGTGTGCAAGTCTGATGATTAATTATTATCCCTATGGCCATTCAAATGGGTGGGAGGTTGTGAAACCAGGAACACTGTGAAAAGGTCAGGGTCCAATATCACTGCATTTATCCACATTATATAACATGCTGCAGTGTTTTTTAGAAGGTGCTACCATAATAAACATCTTGAATTTATATTTTGTTCCTTTTGCTACCTGCATGTACTGCCCTGCACTTGTGTACTTTTAAACGCCATCTGCCAGGTATTTCTAGCCTTGAATTTAATTTGTGTTTTTTAAATCCTTTGCAAGTTCTACCTCCTGCATTAGTGTTTCCTGCTGACTAGTTTACTTACTGTACCAGAATTTAAATAATTCAATCAATTGAATAAAGAATAAACTCAGTCCAAGATATAAATTATACCAGAAGGAAATGTACTTTATTCATATTGATGTGTATTAATGCATCAGGCAGTTGTTTCCCCATAGACTTTTATTCCTGCCACAGATGTTGCATTGAGCATATCCCCTTTAAGAAAAGCGGTGATCGTAATACAGACACCTGTGGTATGCAACTAATTATGTACTGCATTTTGAGTTTTTACCCCTTATGTCTATTCATTAACCAGTTTTCTGTTGCATTCAGTCCCAGTTTGACATTTAAAAGCAAGACCAGTGGTTAGAAATCGTATTTCTGAGAACACGTGTGAAAACGTTGCAACACAAGAAAACTTTGAACAGTTACGGTTGTGCTGCTTTCTTTATGGAATGCTTGGAAGATTTTGAAACCTGCCTCCTTGACATTTAAAAGTGGCTTCCGGAAAAACTGGTGCCTAGTGTGGGCCTAGTGTGAGTGCATGCATGTCTTGATTTGGGTCTATCTTCCCTGCAATGGACTGGCGTCCCATCCAGGGCGTGCCCTGCCTTGTACCCATTGCTTGTCAGAATAGGTTCTGGCTCCCCTAGGAGTCTGAATTGGAAAAAGTGCTTTGAAAATGGATAGATGTGTGCTTTACAATTACTTACATTTTGATGGTTACCATTGTGATAAGGCCAAATGCAAGCAGCCCTTTGAATTCATAAATGATCCAGATTACAAAAAAGGAGACTGGGTCACAATGCTGAACTCCAAAGGCCAACTCGGTCATCTTCACTAGTTGTTGTGCCAAGTTATTTGTCATAAAAGGTACAGGATTGTGTATTTCCTCCACGGCCAGTAATAAAAAACATTACCCTTTTCCCCCCAAGGTGGCACACATCATATTTGGAGAAAAATATGAACTTTAGTGCTACTTATTTCTATGTTTATGTAGTACATGTGGTTGTCTTTTTAAATAACCACAATAAAAGAAATGGGTAATGTCTCCTTCCTTCCTCCATTACATACAATGTCAAAATAGTTTTTTTTTAGTGGCAAGGATCGCTTTTAAACCAGTAAAAATCCTCCTGGGTTTCTCTTTTCATCTTCTGGCTGGTGACAGCACAAGAAAGGACCGATATGAAACACATGTTACGCAAACAAAGTCATTGTAATATCACTTGACAGTTTAAAGGAAGGGAAAATATCAGGGCTCATATTGTGTTCTGTTAAAGGAAATCTGCCTTGATCTGCTGTATATTTTCGCACAGGGGATAAATTGTTGGAACCGCACGATGCCAATTCTTACAGGATTTTTGGAAGTGGAACAGGGGATTTGAAAAACACCTTCACCAATGCTGTTTTTGCACACACTGATCAAATCCTTTATTGACTATCGCCAGATTCCTGTTGCTTTTTTGTTCTGAGCAAGAACCTTTTGGAAATGGCTGTGGTCACACAGCTGCCCAATAGACAGTTCAGCTGTTGTCTTAGGTGTGTTTGGAATGGGGTATTAGAAGCCAGATCTCCTGCTGGGGTTGACTTAACTGGAACATGCTTCAAAACTAGGAGCTCTGGAGAAAAGCATTCTAGTTATCAAGAGGATGGATGAATTTTACTCAGTTAGAAAAATGTGCCACAGGGACCACTTCTTTCCAGTCCTCCTGCTGGAGGGTGATATGAGCTGCTGAAGCCCTTGGAAACGTAGCGTGCAAGGAGAGAAGCTCTGTGCCTGTGAGTTGGGTTCATTTGGCTCTTGTTAAGTTCAAAGAGGGGGAGGGGGGAGTTTTGTTGCTGTGAAATAAAAGAAAGAGCAACATCTACAGCTCCCCAGTGTGCTGAAAGTCATACAACATTTATTGTTTAAATAAGACCACTTTTGGTTTTTCTTCTTTTTCGGCCTTGGCACATGATTCTGAGCTGCAAGAGCTCATATAAAGTATGAGGAACACTCATTATAAGCCCCCTCTCACTATAAATAGGATAACATGGAAGGAAAATAATACTTAGAATAACTGTTGCCACACATAAGCTATTTAAATATCATATTCAGTCTTCTTTAACATATTTGACTGCATGGAGTTTCAAAAACATGCTAGAAGCAGATCTTCTGGATTCAGTAATTGGACGTACTGTAAGGGATATTAGCTAGGGAATGGAAAAACAACTAAATCCCTAGTTTTGACCATCATTGGCTATACAAATGCAGTATAATTTACACCACTTATGCATCACTCCTGATAGTTGCTTGTGTGGACCTAACATTTGCAAGGTCTTTGTAATAATTAAATAATTGTTGAGACAGAGTTCATTAAAACTGAAATCACAAAGGTAATTCCAATATATTCCTCAGTATTAGTCTACTTATTTTAGTTATATTACTTATATGTTATAACGAATAAGAAACATCATATAACTGCAACAAATTCACAAGGGTATTAGAAAAATGGAAAATTCTTTTTTTTACAGGTACACTGACATTTTATTGAACACAGATAATTTAATTCTGCCGATTAATATTTGTCAATAGGTGGTTTACTTTGAACATCAGAGGCTAGTTGCATGTGTGTCTGGCCAACACTGAAGCAATACAGGCTATTTATCTGCAATACATGCTTTGTACCCAGTTTCAGGTGCTGACTTATAGGATTCTGTCCCATTCCTCAATCTTTTATAGAGCTTGAACAAACGTGCCCGTTCACTGGTCTCTAAGCCCTAGATGCCACATGCTGTCCCAATATATTCCAAAAATGTTCAACAGGGCTCATCTCTGATGTAAGGGCATCCTTAGTATAACTATTATATTCTCATATTCAGTGAAAATCGTTGTATTTTTTTGTTCTTTTAATAAGCAGGGCTATTTGGTTCTCTCTTGATTTTCATTGAGTTTGACAATAAACTGGTCAAATCGTTTCATCATTTGTGCTCAATCAATTCCCACTAATGGGAGGATTTGGTGCTGGTGCAACATAGTCACCCAAGTTTCACAGGCAATCAATGATCAACAAAACAAAAATGATACCAACTACATTTTATTCATCTATCCATTTTCTAACTGCTTTATCCAATACAAGGTTGTGGGAAAGCTGGAGCATATCCTGGCGAACGACGGGCACGAGGTAGGATATACAGTACCCTTAACAGGCCACGAGACACACACACTCATACCAGGGCCAATC